CTTCTTCGATAAGCCTGTGAATTTTAGGCCCAATAAACGGCATACCAAGAGTAGACGATAAACTCATTAGAATAAATTTTTAAAAACATCATGAGTGATAGAAGCGGTTCGTATTTATTTATTTATTTATTTATTCATTCATTCATTCATTCATTCATTCAATTCATTCATTCATTCATTCATTCATTCATTAGAAAGTTGGTGATAAGTCACCGGGATTTGACCAGTTTTTCAGATGAGTGAATATGCATTTAGAATATAGATCGGATTAACTTAAAAAACTTTAAAAAGTTCCTCTCCATTTGTTATTTTTATTTATTTATTTATTTATATTTTTTCTTTGAAAGAGCGCTTTTAATTATCACATATTACTATAAACAGATGCAGCCCCCCCCCCCCATCTTACGGCTCCTACGCCTATGACGAAATGTTAAATGATTTAGCTAAACCATTAATAAAAAAAAGGATTCTCCCACGTCAATGTCAAGCTCCGTTGATCAAGTCCAAATATAGCCTTTCGAATTGCATCATACCCACAAACTCAATTCAACAAAACACACAGCAGTAAGCGCGGTCGCAGCTGATAAAATTGATTGTTTTATTCAGGTCTAGATTTCTCAGACCCTCTTCAGCCCCAAACTATAATATCCTAGGTCTGACAGCTGATAACTGGACTTCCATTATTTGATATGACGTAGGGCCTATATAAGTAATATAGACGTGTTATTAATTGATTGGAATAAAATGTCAGCCTATTCATATCCTGTATAGGCAAACTCTTCAAATGTTTACACAGTAAGACGCAATATGAAGACGATAGTATTTTTTCTAACTCCAACTTTCATTGTAGTTTTGGCTATTTTCTTGTATGTCAATAATACGAATACTGATAATGATCTAGACAGTAAAAACACGCTTCGTGATAAGGATCCAGATACAGAAATTTCGTCTGAAGGTTAGTTTCTTGATAAACATAAAAGTATGGAAGCACGGTGGTGCCGCCAGTGGATTAATTGGGTCTTGGAGATATATTTAAGGAGCTAAACCTCTAACTCAATATTTTCCATAATATTCGACATTATAAACACGGATTAGAATTCAATACTGTTCCATTTCAATCAGTATTGGTGTTATTATCTTGCCGTGAAAATATGGGATCTAAGTATCAAATATTTAAGACACAATGGACATTGTACAATGCGTACGGGTGCCATTTGCAATGAAAACAGAAAAACATAATATGCTACAAGACAATGCAGAGGTAATTAATACACAAACGACGGTATGCGTACTTAATATTTATTCATAAACCGCGGTAATTATTCCTGTAAGAGATCCCAGTCTATACCGACATGACGGAATGGTCGAGATGCGAAATATTGGATTCGCTCACTTCAATTAATTTTGTTATTACGTTCTTCTTGGGCCGAAATTTCCACGAACACGCTATGTGATAGATAACAAACCTTAATCTCTCAACCCTCCGTGTTTCGCGATAAGAGATGAGGCCATTGCACCCGGCATTTGTAAACAAAATTGACAATATTTTTAATCAAAACAACGATTGGTTATTGTTATTTATAATATTTCTACCACGCCCAACTACAATTAAGCATATAATCTTACCTGAAATGGGTACAAATCCCCTCTTTTTTAAATCAAAGCGACAGTAGATCGCTTTCCCCGACATTTTAAATTTACGTCTGTACACACATAAAGGCGGGGCCTCGTGTGCAATAGCCAATCAAAGTACCCATCTGATCAGAGTTGCGCAGTAGGTATTACGGCGTAATTATGAACGTCTGAATCAATTATGATAAAAACAACGCTTGATTTACTTTATTGTCAATATTTGCTGATAAATGAATGTTGTTTCAGTAGATTGGACTGCGTATGTGTAATAAGTACTAATAGTATAAAATTAACTTATTTTTAAGATGGTACATACATTAATAAAGAAATTGAGTTTGCCACATGGAACTAAAGGCATCCAATTGTAGCTAAAAACAACACATTAGTATATCTCAGCGTTTTTAGTTACATTCTCGTAGCTAGCTATGTGAGTGTTTATTTTGGAGATATAATAGACCAATTTACACATATGAATAACAGACATGGCCCAAACTGTAGGTTTAATCTATAAGGTAAAGGCAATTTGCTGAAAATTTCAGTCAATTTGATCCACTATGAACCAAGAATTAAGAATTAACCGATATTTTAGCGATTGAATTTTGGGTCTAGCCTCGATCATCATTACTAAAGTCGGTACAATAAAAAACATAGTCTTGAATATTCATTTTTTTATTTAATTATCAATGAGTGTTAAGCAGCAGATATGATTCTAATCCAGAAAAATATCGCGGGCTAGCGTTGACACCGAGAGTTGATTATGGTCTGGATAAGTTAATTAATAATTTAGATAACATTCCAGGCCCAAGGAAAGACCTGCTGTTGGCAAATTTAGCTCTTGCATAATGTATGTTTAATACTGAGCTTTATGAATAAAAATGTGAACGGAAATATAATTTCGCGTAACACATTTGAAATTTATGGACCGGTATATGTTTCTTTCATATAGATCAATGCAAAATCCCACCTAGTTTTAAAAACAAATCCATTGATAACTATAGGTCCTGTATCAAGATTTCATTAATTTCACAGTAAGTGGGCGACAACAGCAAAATTATTTTGAATTTAAATTGTATGAACAATCCCACCGAATTTTTAAAGTAGCTAAGTCTCTAACTCAATATCATCCAAAATCTTCAACATTGAAAACACGATTTATTTGTCAAATTAAATCAACATTCATGTTGTGATCTTACCGGAAAAAGATGGGCTTTTGATATCCAATATTTAAGACAAAATAAACATTTTACCATTGGTACACGAATCGTGTACCATAATGCGCTTCAGTCCTAGTTGTATGAAGAGACTGGATGGACGAGGCTAGACACATTGCACCAAATCAAACGGCGTATGTGGACTGGAATAACCAGACGCTAGAAATTTGCACTCGCTTGAGACTGCTGGCTTATTTTGCCGAACATAACTGATTTGAAATTGGAGTAAAAACGGAAACCATTGAATGTAAATCAGTTTATATACATTCATACTACAGTATTATATGTGTTGCGACCCACTTTTGTCAATTTCTAGGTCCCAAATGTTAGCGATTTAGCTCCTTTAAATTATTCCATTTCAAACTCAAGTCTGTATCGTGTTCACAGTGAATGTATAATTAACACACAAAAATTGTGGGTAGGGGGATTCTGTTTTACAACTAAAAATTGAACATATGAGATTGAGAAATCTCACGCTTTTCAATCGTGTTTATGTGATAGTATAATGGTGTGATAATCTGCCAATCGCTTATATATAAGTTAATTAACATTTCTTAAATTTTTGTCTGCGATATCACCTCGGTTGAAACGGACGTAAAATACAACTAACTAACACATTCTTAAAGGAGCTAAATCGCTAATATTTGAGACCTAGATATTGACACAAATGGGTCGCAAGTATATAATAATTTAGTATGAATGTATATAATCTGATTTACATTCAATCGTGTCTGTTTTTACTGTAATTTTATGTTCGGCGTAATACACCAGCAGTCTCAATCCACTGGCAATCTCTAGCGTCTGTGTATTCCAGTCTACACTAATAGTATTTATTGCGCATGCTCTCCAGCTAAGATTATGCCGTCACCGTTTGACATGACGTGTGGAATGTGTCTAGCCTAGTTCTTCGGGTCCCTTGTTACAAATGACGCTGAAACGCATTATGGTACACGATTCGTGTACCAATGGTAAATTGTTTATTTTGTCTTAAATATTGGATATATCAGAAGCCCATCTTTTCCCGGTAAGATCACAACATCAATGTTGTTTTAAAGTGACAAATAATTCGTGTTTTCAATGTCAAAGACTTTGGATGATATTGAGTTAGAGACTTAGCTACTTTAAATTAACCACTTTAAGATCAAATGGCTTGTATAAGTCGTGAACCTGTCATCACTTTTCAAGACGTCATTGGGTAACGATGTTATTGTTAATCCCATCTATTGTTTTTGTTGATTTGTTATATTGTTTAATTATGCATTGTTCATCTATCGACATATCAGTTTTAATTACAACATTTACTTTTATCCTGTTATCTGATTTTCCTTTAAAGTACAGGTGTCGCAATTTGACTTCCGTATCCCATTTGTCTAGGTTCCTTGTGCGTGGGACCATGGTGGGACGTTTGGTCCACGGTTTTCGCATGGAAGCTATTTTTTACTTTATTATATATAATTATACTAGATAGGTCTTTTGTATGTAGAACCCCGCAAAAATGTCAGGGCTAAAGTCGTTGTCTTCTACCTTACAAAAATAAACGTTACCGACCAAACCGCTACACTGGTAGCCTACAATTTTGAAATTTATACACTTTGTAACAATAATGTGGAAAAACATGAGATGGCAACTCCTAATTCGGATTCATTTTCTAACACTCATTCTCCCCAGATTCAACGCTCCACTAGCTGCGTTACTGATGCCAAACCCGAAAAGGCGCCACAAATGACGTCATTATTGATTCTGTGAAATTATCTATAAAACGCCCTACGAATGTGTTGGCTAACTTCATCTCGATTTGGAGCCCTGAAATACGAGTTAGTAGCACTCGGCAAACCTCAGTAGATTCCAGTAGTAACGGACTCTGCCGATGTTTGCCGAGTGGGGTTAGCAGGCGAGCGGTTATAATTTGTCATACCGGTGTGCGTTACTGATAGTGAATGAGTAAGCAAGTTCATAGAAAATTTGAATAACGGCATTTATAAATTTGACCTGTACTGTAGATTTGAAAAGAAATTAATCATTGAGTATAGGCCTGCCGATATATAGTTACTTCACAGGAATCTGGCCTTCTATCCGTATTATATGCATACACCAGTCATATACCGAACAGAGAGAGAGAGAGAGAGAGAAATGGTGTTTAACGTCCACTCAACACAAACATAAACAAGACAATAATATAGTGATAATGTCTAGTTAATGAGTATGGTGTATGTAGGCCTGCATAGGGGGCCTATAATATATACGGATAAAAGGTCAGATTTCTGTGGTTACTTAAAGGCTCAAACCACTCTTGTTGTAACTGAATAATATGGTCCCAATCTTCATTCTGGTCAAAAAATTGTAGGCCTACTATTTTACAATATTCCAGTTGATGATACAAATTTCATCTTAACACACCTAATTTAAAAATTTGGAAAAATTCAACTAAATGATTTGAAAAGCCTGACATAAAGCTTTTCAAATGTGACTTGGATTTAAAAATATTTTTGAACCCTTTGGACAAGTAAAATAGGATTTAATGGATAATTTACACAACAGGTAGGACACTAACACATCTAGTACTTAGAATAAGGCTATTTTTTATTTTCTGGAGCTGTTTAGCCAGCAAGAGTGTTATTGTCCCTTTAAGTAACGTAGGCCTATATTGTATCGGCTCTGCTATGTTACTAAAGTATTAAACAAGCCTGTCGATAGCCTATAAAATTTTCCTTGTAGGACTATCTATGTTTCCCTTAAATCTGCAGGTCAAAATGTTGATAAGTTATCAGTGTACATTAGCCATTAAAATGTGTACTTTTCTTCTTCAGATGTTCGTGAAATCATGTCAGAATATTGGAAAGATCATGCACAGAAATCTTCATCCATACAAACAATGATGTTGGATTCAAATGCTGAAGAATTATCAAAAGATGAAAAACCAGAGATTCTGTCTTACTTGCCTGATATTTCAGGCAAAACTGTTATAGAACTTGGTGCAGGAATTGGGTAGGTATGATTTCCATATTACTAGTAAATTGCATTGTTCCTGATTGACACAGGTCCCAGGGCCCACACCACCCCTACCCATAAAATGCAGTGAATACTGAATATATAGGCTTTATCGGAAGAGTTCCAGCCCGCATCCCTTGTATCTATGTGTGTGTACCAACACTGCAACTGGCAGACAACTGGATGTTATGGCATTGAACAACACAGGGGTTGGACTTCCATGAAATTTGGTGGGGGTTTGATGGTCGAATGGTTAGAACGTGCGTGCTGTATCATAAGGCCTGTCATTGAGTCAACTGGTGTGGTTTCGAATCCCCGGTTGTACGTGACAAGGAGTAGGGTCGCCTGACCAACCTCGTGGGTTTTCTCCAGGTTCTCCGGTTTACTCCAACTGCTAATGACCCCTCGCGCAAGCAAATTATTGAAATAAAATTAAACCATATGTTAGTCCCGAAATGACCTAGTTTGTGTCGAGCGGACGTTAAACCCCATTTCTCTCTCTCTCTCTCTCTCTCCATATGAGATTTGTGAATAACAATTTTAATGTGAATATGATCGTATCGAATGCCCAGCAAAAGTCATATTTCAGACACCAATTTCTTACACCAGGTATATTTTCATACACCAATTAGGAGCCTATATCTCTACATTGTTTTTCAGGCGATTTACAACAATTTTGGCAGAAAAGGCAAAACATGTTATTGCAGTTGATTTTATGGCCGAGTTTATTGAGAAGAATAAAATAGCTAATGCTCATCTTAAAAATATAGATTACATGGTTGAGGATGTAACAAAGATGGAACAGCCTGAAGCTCAGTATGTATCATATTTACACTGGACCTCAATAAAGTGTACTGTATCAAGCACTGATAAAACAGTTTAGAATTCTTTTACACTATTTATTAGGTAGTTGAATAACTGATAAATTTTAAGGGGAAGTCCAATCGAAAATGTCTCTTTAAATCTGCAAATCAAATGGAAAAATGTGGAAATTTCAGATAAAAATACGGATGATCAAAAACAGTTTATATGGGTTACATAACTATTTTAAAGCGCTTGTCTATTTTATCAACTTACCTGGTAAATGCGACTATTTGGTACTGTTTGCCAAGATGTAATTTAAAGAAGTAGTCTGAAAATTTCAGCTAAAAATATTGAACTGTTTGCATTTTAGAAAATCAGAGTTTTGCGTTCAAATCATCAAAGACCATAGCAAAATGACAAATGAATCTTAAGTCTCGAGGGCGGGTTGGATGGCCGAATGGTTAGCACATGTGTGTTGTATCATAAGGTCTGCCATTTAGTCAACTGGCGATGTTTCGATTCCCCGGTTGTACGTGACAAGGAGTAGGGTCGCCTGTCCATCCTCGTGGGTTTTCTGCGGCTCCTCCGGTTTCTTCCCACTGCTAAAGACCCCTATGCACAAGCTAAGTCTGGAATTTCATTTTATAATTAAATTTTTAAATCTTGCGGGTGTTTTAATTACTTCTAAATCAGAAGTTCTAATCCATTTGAATCTCCACCATCCAATGGTCTAAAAGAGTTGATTATAGGCTTGCCATGTGAATAAATGTCTAGGTAATAATTTATATAATATTTGAAGCCAAATTAAAGATCTGCAGTAGTCAGATTTACATATAGCTCTTAACTGCTACCTTAATTATTGTTTCTACTGTTTCAGGAGTGATTTAGTTTTTTCTAACTGGTTGTTTATGTATTTAGAAGATGCTGAAGTTCAAAAGGTCTTTTATAAAATGTTGGGGTGGTTGAAAGAAGGAGGATATTTGTTTATTCGGGAATCATGTAATCGTCCCTCCGGTGAGTCATAATTCTCCTGAACTACATTCGATATTGAAGAAAGTTTTTTTTTTAGTTAGACTAATTGCTCTTGAATGCTATGGAAGTCACTGTTCTTTATGAACCATTCTGATCTTGCTTGAATTAGGATAGGGTGCTCCTGTTGAATTTGAATGCTTTGTTGGGTCTTGTTTTTTTATACGCCCACATTTTCATGTGGACATATTATGCCGTCGCCCCTGTCCGTCTGTCCACAATTTGTTTGTGGACACTCTACAGGTCACAATTCTTATCTGATTTTGACGAAACTTGAAATATAGGTTTATCTCCAAAATATCTCGGTTCCTTTCGATATTGGCATGTATTGGATCGAAACTTCATGGATTATGGCCCCTGTTTGTACGAAAAATCACGTTTTTAGCTTGTGGACACTATAGAGCTCACAATTTTTATCCGATTTTGTTGAAACTTGATATCTGAGTTGATAATCCAAAGATCTCGGTTCCTTTCGATATTAACGCATATCGAACCGTAACTTCCTGAATTTTGGCCCCTGATTGTACCAAAAATCGTGTTTTTAGCTTGTGGACCCTATAGAGGTCATAATTTTTATCCGATTTAAAAACCCTTTTATTATATCACCGTTACACCCTAAGGACGGCTGAGTTCGAATTTCGTGAAAATCGGCCCAAAATTGACAGACAAAATGGCCACTGTTCGTTCTCAAATAGCGTAAAAATATGGTATATCAAGGTTGTGGACCCTATAGAGGTCACAATTTTTATCCGATTTTGTTGAAACTTGAAATGTAAATTTATAACCCAAAGATCTTGGTTCCTTTCGATATTTGCGCATATCGGACCGTAACTTCCTGAATTATGGCCCCTGATTGTACGAAAAATCGTGTTTTTAGCTTGTGGACCCTATAGAGGTCATAATTTTTATCCGATTTAAAAAAACTTATTATTATATCACCGTTACACCCTAAGGAAGGTTGAGTTCGAATTTCGTGAAAATCGGCCCAAAATTGACAGACAAAATGGCCGCCGTTCGTTCTCAAATAGCGTAAAAATATGGTATGTCAAGGTTGCGGACCCTATGGAGGTCACAATTTTAATCCGATTTTGTTGAAACTTGAAATGTAAGTTTATAACCCAAAGATCTTGGTTCCTTTCGATATTCGCGCCTATCGGACCGTTACTTCCTGAATTATGGCCCCTGATTGTATTAAAAATAGGGTATATCAAAGTTGTGGACCCTATAGAAGTCACAATTTTTATCCGATTTTGTTGAAACTTGAAATGTAAGTTTATAACACAAAGATCTTGGTTCCTTTCGATATTTGCGCATATCGAATTGTAATTTCCTGAATTATGGCCCTTGATTGTAGGAAAAATCACTTTCTTCTTAGCTTGTTCTCTATCCATCTATCGAAAATGTGGGCATATCCTGCCTGGCAGCCGCTGGTTTATTTTTTTGATTGTTACATACATTGAAGTTTCATAACGTTTTTCTAGGATATCACCTCAGCTGTTACACCATGACATGATGTGCATTGTTATAAATCTTTTTATCAATAATAATACACATTGAAATGCAATAGACTGCTTTCTGATTTATTTTAGGGAACATACCCAGAAAATCTAATCCTACAAATTATAGAGATACAGATATGTATGAAGCTTTTTATTCTTCTGTTAGTATCCCATGTGATGAAAATCATTCTTATGGTTTTGATTTGGTTCTTTCTAAAGCTGTTGATGCTTATATTAAGGTATATTATAAGATTACTAATTTATTTTGTCCTTTTTCTGTTGTCAGAGCTATAAAAGTTTTTGTGAGATGTTGATTTTTTTAAACTTGTTTAAATCCTTACGAAACTCAGAGTCACCCACTGTTTTTTAGTTGAGTTTTTGACACTGGCACCGAACCTTGTAATGGCTGTATAGGTAATTTTATTTTATCTAACTTAATGGGATTGTCAGACTAATTCTAAAGAGGAACCCAATTGAAATTCAGACTAACTAATCAATTTTATATATCTAGATTCAGTTATGCATAAATATCATGTTTGAATAGCACCAATCATATTTTATAGTACCGGTATAGAGATTTAGCTTCTTATTAAAGGGACAATAACACTCTTGCTGGCTTGACAGCCCCAGAAAATAAAAAAATAGCCTTATTCTAAGTACTAGATGTGTTAGTGTCCTACCTGTTGTGTGAATTATCCATCAAATCCTATTTTACTTGTCCAGAGGGTTCAAAAATATTTTGAAATCTAAGTCACATTTGAAAAGCTTTACGTCAGGCTTTTTAAATCATTTAGTTGAATTTTTCCAAATTTTTTAAATTAGGTGTGTTAAGATGAAATTTGTATCATCAATTAACTGGATTATTGTAAAATAGTTCAATTTGTTGACCAGAATAAAGATTGGGACATATTATTCAGTTACAACAAGAGTGGTATTGAGCCTTTAACATTTAAAAACTGCTTAGATTACTTAGCTGCTTTAGACACCTGTTTTGTTGCCTGCTTCAATTTATAATTAATTAAAATTTTTCAGCACAAGAGTAACAAAGATCAAATGGTGTGGCTCTTACAGAAAGTAAAACGTTCAAATACATCTAACTTTGGATATAAAAACTTCCAAGATTTCTTGGACAATCAACAGTATTCTAAAAATGGTATTCTACGTTATGAGAAAGTGTTTGGTCGTACTTATGTCAGTACTGGAGGTTATGAAACCACAAAAGTATGTTCATATTTCTACAGGTAGATCTTCTTTTAGTGTGCACAAAATTTAATGGTGCCTGCAGGGTTGAATTTAGATAAGATGATAAGATCATTGAATAGCAATTTATTTTCAAAGTTTCAATTTTTGCTTATTCATTTCAATTAATGATTGTCATTATCTCTGAAATGGATATCAATAAATTTAAAGTTTTCACATAAAATGAACCAAATTATTGATGCCTATTCTGTCTGCATGCAGTCTAATAAAATGGTCAACAGACAGAAGTGTAAAAATACCTATTGATATTGAAATTGTCACACAGTTATACATGTACATACATTAAAATGTAAAGATAATGAAATATACAGAAGACCATAATTAAGGTTTAGATAAAATTCATGAAACGAAGCACTATTCAGGTATGTCTGTATTAAATAGGTATTTTAACATGAATGTTAAGATGCATATAGAACCAGAAAAGTAGTACTAAATGGTCAAATGTATGTCTGAAGAATTTGGTCTATTGTGAATATGGAAAGAAAATTGTTTTTAGAGATCTTTCTCTTTATTTTGGGCGGGGGCGAATGGTTTAACATATGCACGTTTGATCGTAAGTTATGTCATTGAGTCAAGTGGCGTGGTTTCGATACCCCGCTTGTATGTGACAAGGAGTAGGGTCACCTATCCAACCTTGTGGGTTTTCTCCCGGTCCAGCCTCCAGTTTCCACCCACACACATCTAAAGACTCCAAAGTGCTAGCGAATTATTGAAATAAGATTGAACCATATTTTTGTCCCGCAATGACCTAGTTTGTGTCAAGTGGATGTAAAACCTCATCTCAGGTACATCTGTATTAGTTCTGTGCTATTACTATCACCATCATTAAAACCTACAGGTCATATTGTTTTAGATTTAAAAAAAACAAAACTTGCCATAACTGTTCAATTGGTCATAAAGACACCCCTTGTTGACTTTTGTGGAGTTATTGCAATATGATATTTATATTACAGGAGTTTGTTGATATGTTAAATTTACAAGCTGGTCAACAAGTTCTAGATGTTGGTGCTGGTATTGGTGGTAGTGCTTTCTATATGGCTAAGGTAATTGTATGCATACAGTTATGTAAAGTAAAAACAGTAGTAAACTTTTTCCAAAAATTAGCTGAATAAGATTTGATAAATTTCTACCTAATATTAATAATTTGGTACACACCAAAATGTATTTTTAGATTTTTCTTTCTTTTATCAGTTCGGCAAGTAACGAATGAATTGTTAAGCCATGTGACAAGCTACTAGGTAACATACATGACAGGTATGGAGTAGAAGTTATGGCATGTCTGTCGTGACTTTGTGATGTCTGTTTGTTTTCAGGAAACAACATTTATTTTTTATATGCGCACATTAATATTGAACATTAAAATATTGGAATTATTAATAGTTACATAAAGTCAAAATGCAACAAAATCAATGCGAAATATTTTATTTTGGCTAGGCATTTTTGAGAGTGACATATTTTTTCTTTTCTATCTTGCTAATTATATAAGATATTCTTGGTTAAAACTATTTTAATGCCTTTTTTTCTTTAGAATTTCAATGTGAGGGTCATTGCTAATGACTTGTCTTCTAACATGGTGTCAATTGGATTAGATCGTGCGCAAGAAGAAGGCATAACACCTGACCAGGTGGTGTTTGAAATAGCAGACGCAACAAAGAGAGATTATGCTGCAGAAAGTTTTGATGTTATTTATAGTCGTGATACAATCTTGCACATTAATGATAAATTAAGTCTCTTCAAGAGATTCTTTGTAAGTACATTACAATAGATACATATGAAAAAATCAATAAATTAAAGGTCACAGGAAAAGCTTCATAAATTTTTAAAATAATGCAAGGAATTATGTCAATTCCATAAGTATAACACGATCCCGAATGTCAATGTTACCTGCCACAGGTAAATTTCACTGATCTGTATGAAATTTATATGGATTATTCAAATTAGTGAAACCAAGAAGCCTATTTCGGTCATTTCTACTAGAGTTATGGTACTAGTTTCACTTTTTACAATGATGACCAAAGTTATCATCCAGTCTGTTTGAAAATTATGTTCATTATTCAAGTTGAACTTCAATACATTTAACTACTTTAGAGTTCTGGTCTTTGTTTTGATTATTGTGATAGATAACTTCGCAACAGTTTCAGATAATTAGCCTACTTATAAAATCATTGGCCATGATTATTCCAATGATATTATACAATGTGAGTGTATCTTTCGTTGGCTGGCAACCTAATTTTTCTTTTTGTGTTATCATCTTTTAATTAATATTATTTATAATCCTAAAATGTTGTAAAGAATGACAAACAATATTTATTTCATTCACATAAAATCTTATAATTTTGTATTGTAACAGAAATGGTTGAAACCAGGAGGAAAGGTTTTGATTACTGACTATTGTTGTAAAGCTGGTGAACATTCTGACGCATTTAAATTATACGTTAAACAACGTGGATACAACTTACTTAGTCCACAACAATATGGAGAGGTAATATAGGGGATTCATCCATCAGTCTGACTTTTTAACATGTTTTGGGATACAATAACTCTGCTTCTATGACAGGATGGCTCATTAGTTGTGAATGTTGTGTGGAAGGTTCTAGTCCAAAATTCCCCCCTTTTCATTTCACAGGTTACAGTTAAATCACTGTATGTTAATCTCAAAATAACTGAATTATTGTGTTGATGTGATGTTGAATTGCATTCTATTCCATTGATTAGTTGGGTTGAGCTATTGATCAGAAAGAATAACTGTCAAAGGATGAATTCAGAATCAGATATGCATGTTCCCAGTCAGGGTATTTTATGAGGCGTATTCTTAAACATACATTATGCAAGAACTACATCTGCCTATTGCAGGTCTTTCTTTAGGCCTGAAATGTTATCTAGATTATTAATTAGACATTAATTAACTTATCCAGACCATAATCAACTATCGCTAGCCTGCGATATTTATTGAATTAGGATTGGATTTGCTGCTCGACTTCCATTCATGATTTAATCATGAAATGGATAATCGAGACTATGTTTTTTATTGTACCGACTTTAGTAATGATGATCAAGGCCAGGCTGAAATTCAATCTTTAAAATCTTGGTTCAGAGTGGATCAATTTGACTGAAATTTTCATCAAATTCCCTTTACATTATCTAGTTTTTAACTATTATAGTGAGAACTGCCAGCTCTTTATCTAGTCTCCCATAATGTATCTTTAACATATTGTTGATAGATCAATCTATTTATACATTGCTCTATTTGTTAATTCAATGCTGGAAGATGTCTTATTTTAATTGTTAAATTATTTGATTTTTATCAGGTATTAAAAGAAGCTGGTCTGGTAAATGTAAGAGCTGAAGATAAATCAGAATTATTTACACAAGTTTTAGAGGGAGAACTGCAAAAAACAGAGAAGATGAGAGAAGAATTCATTAAGGTTAGCTCTTCACTAGCTAAAGTCACTTTTGGTGCCCATAACTGATTTTGTGCCCTGATGGCAGACCTGTCAACTCTACCGCATCACACGGTAAACTGCCACGAAAACGCCTCATGTACCGCTCTACTGCGCAGTAATAGATTTCTACCGCATTTTCAAACAAAGAGTTTTTTTAATTTTCTCGCCCAAACTATGGAACTAAGGGAAGCAACTCTTTGCATGTAAACAATAAAGATCGCGATTTTTGGTTATCAACATCGATTTGGGATATTGTAAGGTGTAATTTAGCTAAGAGATTTATTCTCAAATTCTTTTTAATCTATTTTAGAGTTAATAAAGTGGATATAATTATTGGCACATGTTCCAAATACTCTTAAAATGTGTAGCAATAAATAAACCATTATGGATAAACTAAACAAATAGCGTCTAATTTAAGGCAGCAATGGCTGACATTTTCGTTTGTGCACGTATGTACAGCATCTAATACAATACTTTGAATGCAACACAACCTGGAACTTTCATTTCAAGATGGGAATACGCCTCGCCGATTCTGACTTACATGGAACACTCTTGGATAAATGTAAAAGCAGATTTATAGAATCACAGGAGAAAAAAATCCCGTACATTGATAGGATAATCGCCATGATTAAATCGATACCAATATTTACTAGTCGTTATGCAAAACTAATTTTTTTATGCCCCCCCCCTCTCTATTCCTAATGTAAAAATACTATAGAATCACACCATAAGCACACCAATTATCTTACATGAAACAGTATTGACAAAAACTCTCGGAATGGGGAACACATGTCACAAGGATATTTTTAAAATCATGCTAAGTTAAAACAAAAAAAAAGTGATACTGCCAGTACTACTGGACTGGTAATTTTAATTATTTTTTACGTTACTAATTATTTCTTTCTGTAGGCTACATATTCAATTTTAGATATGGTTACCATTGTTTGTGTATATTTTATTTATTACCCATTTAATGCAATTTTTGTATTGTTTGACCTGCAGTTCAGTGTACCCTTGGAAGTGCGAATTTACTGTTTTTGGAAATCTACTGCCAAATCATGGTTTCTACTTCATTTTTTTATACTATCCTACTGCATTTGAGCTCTGTGGGGTTAAGAGGTCTTCCTGATGCTTAATTTTTATAGTAGATCTGCCCCATCAATAATATATAATTGTTGCACAAGTCTAAATTTCGATAGATTCTTTGCAAATGACATGCCAAACAATCCCAACAAGTTTTTATAAAAAGAAAAACCTGAAAATTGCAGTATAAGAGCATTTACACGGTTTTGTGGTAGGGGAGGTAACTCTGTATAAAATTGATCTGTAGCTAATAAACTGAACTTTAATAAAAAAAATTCCATATGACTAGCCAAACAATCCCAGTAAGTTTGGATATCTAATATATACTCTGACTTGAGCATTTACATGCTTTTAGTAACAATTACTCCACATAAAATTAATAATGACTTAACTGAACAGTCCAGTTAAATTTTGAAGAAAAAACCCCATCAAAAACTCTAACCTGTATAGTGAATAGACAGAAGTACAATAATATGTGGGTGTATAAGAATTCCATTCCCCAAAAGTATTCCTTTCGAGCATGAATCAATTGGACTATGTATTTTTTTTAGGAATTTTCAGAAGAGGATTATGATTATATTGTTAATGGTTGGAAAGATAAGTTAGTAAGAGTTAGACAAGGTGATCAAAGATGGGGCTTATTCTATGCTGAAAAACCAGCCTTATAAAACCAGTCAAATCATGGTGCAATGTCTTTAATTCTTATATTTTAACCAATAACTGCGTTGTATGTTTTATTTCTTTAGCCAGTGTCTTTCATGCAAAATTTATTGTAAGAATGTTGAGATAAATTCATATGCATCATTAGGTCTTCTTTAACCAAACCATTTTGGCCTAATATATATAGAATTATTCTTAAACATTCTCTGCTAAATTCTATAATATAGCTGTACAATGATTTATTCCTAAAATATATTGAAATCATTGGCTATATTGTTTATTTATCCTGATCAATGTTTTAGTTCCAGTATTTCAATTATGATAAATGAATTTGGCATTATTCATTAATTTAAAGCGTGGTTGTAGAAAATGCAGAAGTGCTAATTGACTAACTTTTAATCAATCAAAATGAAGATGAAGTCATTTACAGTGTATGGGTATTCTTGTTTTTGTGTATAAACCTGTAATTAATCAACAATAATTAAGCTACCAAGCTAAATTACTTATGCTTTCTTGTATTTGGCTTAATTTTGCTTTCTTTGTATCTTTGTGAAATTGAATATCGCTGGAAAATATTTTTGAGAAATTTAATGATCTCATACTTACTGTAAAATTTCCTCTTATAATTGAAGAATGGATTTACCAGAATAAGAAATTTTATTATTTTTAAGAAAGAAAAATAGCTAAGAGACCAGGAAGCTTAGTAAAACAATATTTGAATGTGCTTGTGTATTGCCTCACTACTGATGTACACCAGTTAACACTTCAAATTGTGTTTTTGTTGACAATTATTTGTAAAAATGCTTAAAGTGTAACAGCAAAGATGCAGTTTGCCTTTATCATATTTTGATGTGTTGGTAAAGACATCTTATAGTTAGTATTGAAACTCTTTTATCAACCAGAGTTATAGACATAAAATAGTTGCACAGAAAACTGTCATTACACTGAGATGTATTGATATTCTGTCAAATTGTATTATGTTATATGAAGGAGAATGATGGTTGATTGTATTATCTTATATCATGACAATGACGGTTTATTGTTTTTGAAGATGTATTATTATTTTTGTAGATTAATATTTAAATGATAAGGCCTACAACAGATATATAATATGTATCTGCTAATATTTCAAACTGAATAGTTGTTCTTTCAAATTCTATTTGCAGAAAAATAATTTCATAGTACAAAATATTATATCCTATTTAATTTGCTTCCTAAAGGTTTTTTGCCCTTCAGAAAATTAAATCATATATTTTGAACACAGTGTCATTTCATGCAACATCCACAAATATTACAACAATATATACTTGATTTACAGACTGCACACTCCAAATTCAAAAGGAAATACCTTTTAATCATAGAACTACTCGTAATCTCGCCAAACTTGCCGTTTTCCAATAGGCCTACTTTGACAACAGAGGAAAGATAAATAAATTGGTTAGGTCATTTGAAAGAGAATTTAAAAATATACAGAATATAAATGAAGCAGAAAAAGGGAAGATGATTGTAAACAAGCATATCCCCCTTTCTTACAGTTGGATGCTGCCTGCAGTTAGAAAATGTTAACAAGGCAGAACATGTGATACCTCATATAATACTCGATATACTCTGTTAAAACAAATATTCATCGATTTATCTATGGTTTTTATTTGGAATAAAAAGTTTTTTAAAAATCGTGTTATCAAAAATGTCGTATATAAATCTATCTAGATTTAAATTACATATTTTACTTAACAATATACTTGTTGTTATAAATACAGATGTTTGTTAAATTGTGAATTCCAGGAAAAAAGGGATATGTTTTTTTATATTGATTTTAAACTATGAATAGAATTATTACCATATTGTAAATTATAAATACAAATGTTACAATACAGTATTGTTATTTTGTTGAATTGTGAATTCCAGGGGGAAAAAAGTAATATTTTTGTTATGTTACAGTAATTTTATACTATGAATAAAATTATCACCATATGGTAAATTACAAAGTTTTTTTTTTATACTACATACAAAGACTTATGCTGCCCCCTTTGTAAATGGTATACTTTTAATTTTCCTATTGCTCTCTTTTCTTTTTCTTAAAATAATCTGTCAACAACACCATCAATATTTCTGCATTGAACTTTCTATCATTTTGCAATCTACAGTAGGCTTATTGTCAATTAACAAATCTTTGTATTGTCTGTGAAGCATCTAATTAAATAGATCTGCATGCGATTCAGGTTGATGAAGATGAACATAGTACTTCCAGCCATAGATGTAATTTCTATATTTAATGTGTTCGTCCATCTGTCCAATATTTCTTGTGAAGCATTATACACTTTAGTTCTTGTCAGATTTTTATACACCCATATTATAATGCTTGTATGTTGTCGTCTGGCAGTTGGTTTCTTCACATTTTCAAATTCATTATATATTGCTTATTCTGGCATTAGGAAAAACAACAACCAAAATTTCAAATCTTGTGATTGGAATTTTTGGAGTTATCTCTCCATATACATTTGGACTATTGAAAACAATACAGGACTAGTTCTTGATCAAATTTATTTTATACACTCACATTTTCATAATACATAGTATTATGCCATCACTCCTGTCCTTCTGTTCACAATTTGTTTGTGGACACTCTTCAGGTCACAATTTTTATCCGATTTTGATGAAACTTGATATATGTATCGGACCATAACTTCATGGATTATGGCCCCTGATTGTACGAAAAATCGGGGGGGGGGGGGGGGGGGGGTGGCTGAATGGTTAGCACGTGCGCGCTGTACCATAAAGTCTGTCATTGAGTAGCTTGTGGATACTCTAGAGGTCACAACTTTCATCTGATTTTGATGAAACTTGATATGCATGTTTATTACACAAAGATCTTGGAACCTTTCGATATTTGCGCATATCAGATCGTAACTTCCTAAATTATGGCCCCTGATTGGTCGAAAAATCACATTTTTAGCTTGTGTATTCTCTAGAGGTCACAATTTTTTTTCTGATTTTAAAAACCGTTTAGATATATCACCATTCCACCATAATGAAGGTTAAATTGGAATTTCGGGAAAATCTAAATGAAACTGCCCGACAACATGACCTCTCTTTGTACGCAAATTGTGTATAAGTATGTAATACAAAGGTTATGGACCCTCAAGAGGTCACAATTTTTATCCAATTTTGATGAAACTTGAAGCATATCTTTATATTCCAAAAATCTCAGTCCCTTTTGATATTTGCGCATTTCAGACCATAACTTTCTGGATTATCACCCCTGATTGTATTGTAAAAAATGTGGGCGTATCCTGCCTGGCAGCCGCTGGTTAGCAAATGAATTGTGCTATTTAGTAATGTACATAAATAAACACCTGACTGCTGGTTAAGAAGAAAGTTTACCACAAGTTTCATCACATCAGCTTCTAATCTTTTACAATAATCATTTATTCACACCACAGTATGAAAATATAATTTCATATAATTTGATATACAAATAACAGCATTCCACAACTTACATAGATATATTTTATAGTAGCACACAAATTAAATAAATAATCCAGTGACATGGCATACCAGAAATTATTCTGTACTTATACTGAATTAATGTAACAAACCATGTATTAAATTAATACAAATTTTAAAAGTCATTTTAAAAGTTAAAACTTGCCAATAAATTATAATACATACTTGTTTTAATCACCAGAAACTATAGGCTCAAATTGCTTAAAATATTTGCAAGGTACATATGTACACTGTGTCAACCAGTGTTGTAACATCAATATTGGAGAATGAGCAGTAGTTGCACATTGCATAACAACACTAGTTTTTAGGGTATAAATATATTGATGCTTATAGATCACAGATTTAGATCCTAAAACAATTATACTGCATGATTATTCGATTCAGTATATATGGCATCAACAAATATTGAAGCCATACACAGATACTAAAAATATTTTTTTTATAACTTGACAAAAAGCATTCACTCATAATATGTTATTCATTTTTCAATATGAATCTCAATATCCAAGGTACTTTGTAGATTTGTGTTATGGAATACTTCAGATACCATCCTTTTCATAAAAATATGCAATTTATCCCTGTGATATTGAATGTATCCAAGGATTACTTGAGATCAAATATTGTTCAGAAGAAAATATATAAATACACATGCATAATGAGTTAAAAATATAATTTCTAAGCTTAAATCCTTTATGTATGTATGATAATTATCTATGAATAATTGTGATTGATTTCTCTAAAAGAACATAATTTGGATAAACTATATACTATACAAAAGCCTATTTATAAATACCACCGGTATATTATCTATTCATCTCTTCATAAAATACTTTAAACTGATCATTCCTATCTACAAATGTTTTTCTCTTTGAACCCCCAAACACTAAATTCCCTTACATAGTATTGTATACATCTCTTAGCTGTCCCTCCCCACCCCCAATGTTTCTTAATTTTTACTCCTCAAAATGATATACATTTCACAGTAACATGATATAAAAAATTAAATTAATGGTGTCAAAGGGTTCAAGTTTGATTTGGTCAAAATAATAATGTACTGTATTGGCTTCATTTGAAATACTATTGTGTTTATTTACCAATTACATTTTTATTTCAATCTGATTAAAACACAGATCTTATTTCGTTTCGCTTTTATAGTTCAAAATTTTGTTTTACTTGTCTTTACTACACTAGGATCTGGAAGAGTTGTTATCATTGACATGTTCTGAATGGTGTGAGGTATAAGCCAATGAAACAGTCTGTTACGGCGAGCTTTAGACATGTTTTGCACGGACCTGTGGGTAATCCACTAGTAACGTCAATGCAGGTTGGTTAATCAAATGTCTGATGTCATAATGTCAAAGGCCGCTCGTATGACCTCTGACGTGACCTATCGCGACAACCAGTCAGATCTTCATGTAGTGTAGGCCATCGAAAGTATAAAAAAATGAAACAAAATATAGATCTGTATTTTAATCAGATTAATTTTTATTTTTGACTTTTTAAACTCAATTGGTTATCTCAAGGTTGACTTTATCTACAGACCTATAATTTTGAAGAAGATATTCATCTCACAAAACAGATAAACACATAAATTCAATCAAAGAATGACAATTTCATGTTTGACTCCAATCAATTTTGAGCAATATTCAAAAACTGTCTTCATAATCTTTCTTAAATCTTTATCTTTTAAAAATTCTCAGGCATGTTACTTCACTTCAGAAAAATGTGTGCACCACACAAAATGATGTTGCTGAAAATGCAAAATATGCAAATAAAACCCAATGTCAATTGAACTTTGAATTACAAACAATTTGACACCAGATGTAAACCAAAATTTCGTCAGTAAGTTAAATAACACTTTTTTGACTAGCAACAAATAATGAAATTCTTTTAAAGTCAGCAAAACCTGTTTTACAACACGTACACATATCTTATTGCATATTTGTTAACTTTTCCCTATAACAACTGCAAAAATAAATTTAACATCATAGACTGTACATGTACCATACATTATTTTAAAAGGATAAATAATGTTCCTATATTGAACTTAAAATTTCTATTGCTAACTCAACAATGTAGATGTAACTGACCTGTACATGTATATTAAGCATTTAAATATTGTGTATAATAATCAATGACCCCTTTTCTTATTAATCATTTTAATCTGAGCATCATTGCAAAATATTGGTCCAATTACAAGAATGATATCAATTTGGATGCCATTGTGATTTATTAAATGAATGAATACATGAAATGGGGTTCAATGGTCAACTTTTTTGCATCGACCCATTGTGACTGTAGTGGACCACTTCTTATAAATCTTAATGATTTATATACCCGTATACATTAATGGAAAACCATTTGCTTTTGATTGTAGCATGAGCACGTACAGGTAGTTGAATGTTTAATAATTTACTAGATGTATCTTTTATTCGTACATTAAAAAATTTCAGTGGCTGGATTATTATAATCTTTTTTTTTATAATTTACTAAGACAGCATTAAAATGAGATGAAATGGGGTTTAACGTCCTACTTTTCATCTCAGACTGGGCTAATGAAGACTAAGTCATACAGTGTACATGTACATGTTATGGGTAAATTTTTGTAAAATAAAAGTGCTTTTGTCTTAATCTGTATTGTAATCTTTATTTTAGAATGTTTGGACTTTAAAGTAACAGGTCTCTTCTCTCTACCATCTAAATATATACATATAGCATATACAGATGGTACTAGAACTTTTAGAGGTCTCTGTTGGTTGAAGATTTCTGAATAAGTTGTTATATTATTTATATGAGAGAGAGAGAAGAGAGAGAGAGAGAGAGAGAGAGAGAGATGGGGTTTAACATATGCTAACTAGGTTATTGAAATCCTTATAGCATTTAGTAACTGAACATATGATATAAAACAAATTTATATGGAAAACAATCACTAGGTTTATTTCACACTATGTTTCAACAAGTTCCTCTTGTCATTCTCAAGTAATATAACTGGGTTATTAATTTAAGGACTTAACCCTACACAGTTAATACTGAAATTGAACAAATTAATATAAACTTTTAGTCTTTTTTTTTGTATCATTTCAAAAAACAATTAAACATAGATGGGAGCTGTGTGTAGATTATCTTATTACATGTCACTACTTAATCATGAGCACAAACTTTAATCAAGTGAGTCCAAATTCTAAGGTATAAAAAAAAAAAACATCAAAGGTTCTGATAAAAAGATTTAAAAATGTGATAAACTGGGTAACTCTGATTACATATTGTAAAGCGTAAATGAAAGGATACTCTTTTTTAAACTTTATTATCAGATATAAAACAACAACAAAATGGGGCAAATCAGATAAATCCACTTTGTGTTTGTGAAGAAAAAGATAACAATATATTCAGACCATAACATTCTTTCCCCAACGCCTTTGAATAGGAAATTGAGTTTGTGTTTAGTTTGTTTGAATGGTATATTATACCAGTTTAAAGCTTATTTTAATGTAATAATAAATAACTTTTCCACTCCCACATAATAGGAATTAATATAATTGTTAATATCCTCACATATAACAGTTAATCCTCAACATACACAACATAACATAACAGATTGTGTCAACACTCTTCTCTATTGAGTGCATAATAATAATATTACAAACAGGCTAAAATTTCAACAACTTAACAAATGAATTGGGACTAACAATATAATATCAGTAGTCATCATTGGTTTCATTTAGTTATAACTCCACTTCCACTAGTTTCGCAGACAATATTTGGGGTGAAATGTAGTTTGGATTACCAGTATGCAGTATATCTACATGTACAGGTCAGGTAAATTCTCAGTCTTTAGCATTTTCAGTCATCTGACAATTAAATACAACAGGTTGTACAACTATCAGAATTTCTGAGGTACTTTTTCGCAGTAATACAAACTCACAGTTTTTTGTAAGTCTGTGAGTGCCTAGATACAGTGGTAAGTGATCGTTGTGATGATGACATCACTCATGCAACAAAATGATGGAATTCCTTCAAAGATTTGTGTAACCTAGTCATGTTAAGCACATTCAAAGATCGCATACAAACAACCCCACATATGTGAGCTAAAACTTACATGTAATGTAAGCTAATGTATTTGGACTATTTTTACACATAGCAAGCATAAATCAACTTTTATCAAAAGGTACCTTGCTAAATCTTAGACAGCTTCTGCAAGTGCAACAAGTTCATTGATAATTCAAATCAATCAACCTATCATTATATGATATAATGTAGATGGAAATAAATATTGAATAATGTTATCAATTTTATCAAGATTTACACATTTCTGCTTGTTGAAAATAATGTTGAACATTGATCAAGATAAATATAACTAATGCTCCAACTGCTGACCCAATCTGTGTAAATACACCACACCATAATAATGCTTTTCTTCCACCAATACGAAAGCCTGATGCCACAGACACTTTAGTGTAAGTTAATATGAATGACATCAAGACCCATGCCGTCACCTGAAACAAAAAAGCTAACATTGAGATAAAGGATTTTCACACAGATTGAAGTGTGGATTACATGTATCTTAGATCTTGATCTTAGGTTTTATCAAATACCCAGTACCCACGATATCATATCCTAAAGTAGTCTAGACAAGAAATATCTCTATTCTTTTGTACCTAGAAATTGACGCAAATTGGGCAACGTATACCCATGGTAAAATGTTTATTTTGCCCGGGCCGTGGCACTATTGCCTACTCTTATATCGAATTCGGACTGCCAAGGGATCTTTTACGTGCATTCCAATGTATACACGGGACCTCGTTTTTTTGTATCTTCCGAAGGACTAGACAGCTGTCCTTGTCAGACCCTCCGTCCTGCATCACTGACAAGGGGGAACCACACCGGAAAATCTGGATGAATTTTCTCGGCCAATGCAGGGATCGAACACCCGACCTCAAGGCTAGCAAGCCCACTTAGCTACGAGATCCCCAGAAAAGTTTATAAAGTTTTAACAAAAAAAAAGGAATTTAACAATAGGCCTAATATTACTATCAGTACCGGTACACTTGTTATTTTCATATGGTTTTGTTTAATACAGTATTAAATAAAAAGTAATAACAAAATTAAAAAATTAATGTTAAAAAACAATTGCCTTAATTTATATCATGGCTTAAAGTAGAAATGTTTCTAAGTATCCCTTGAAAACAATTTGAACAATTTTATTTGAAAATCCAGTGATCTACTTTATGACACCCAGGTGACTGAAGACATTATTATTACATGAGGTGATGACCGAGTTGAATATTGGATAGCAAGACTGACTTTAGAGAATGGGATTCTTCTCTATGAACTCTTAACATCATATTCTAATTCATATTCTACTCATAACATTTCATTAATGAAATACACCAAATTAATCTGTTCTTGTATCACACTGGCACGAACTTGGTTAATCCTTTAAATTCTCAAGATTACGAACATGACACATTTATGCATGAACATGAAAAAAGATAGGATAAAATTCTAGTATGACTACCAGTGGAGAATAGACTTGAAACAGTGGAGAATAGACTTGACTTGAAATAGTGCAGAATAGACTTGACATGAAATAGTGCAGAATAGACTTGAAATAGTGCAGGGTAGAATTTACAATTATAGCTTAACAATTTGATTGGAGTCATTCATGAAATTATACCCAAATGTCTTTTTGAAGACTATTTTTTAAAGATACATTATGGGAGATAAGATAACGACATGGCAGTTCTCGCTATAATAGTTAAAAACTAGATAGTGTAAAGGTAATTTGCCGAAAATTTCAGTCAAATTGATCCACTATGAGCCGAGAAAGAAGCGGGTGAAATTTTGGCATATCTCGGTCATCATTACTAAAATCATTAATATAAACAGCTTAGTCTCGATTATCCACTTTTTTTGATTTAATTATCAACGGCCGTTAGCGGCATATAGGAATCTAATCCAGCCAACATTGAAGGCTAGCCTTGACATCGAGAGTTTATTATGGTCTGGATAAGTTAATTAATGTCTAGTTGATAATTTAGATAACATTTCAGGCCTAAAGAAAGACTTGTAATAAGCAGATTTTGCTCTTGCATAATGCATATTTAAGTCTGTTCATCAGTTTATATTAATTTGATACTCATTTATATCAAACTTTGCAATTGACTTACATGTAGTATACAAATGTAAAACAACAAATTGGTCTAAGACATTTATTAGTTTAATAATTTACTAAAAATCATTTATCAAAAGTTCACTTAAAGGGGCATTATATAATTTTGCCGATTGTAGGACGTTTTCGTGAATTCAAATATTACAAAAGTCATTATTTAGACATTTATTCACATGACAATCTCATAATCAACTCTCTAGAGCACCGGATGGCTTGGATTTTGAGTGGATTAGATAATACCCACCATATCTGAGTTAAACGCTTGTTTGACTGGCCAAAAATGCATGACAATCACAGAGACTGCCAATAAAAGGCTTGACAATATAGATGTACACAGCTTTCTATTCTTATATATTAACAGCCTTATTTGCATTTAAAGTAAAACAAACTTAATTGTATTCGCTGTCTGAAACATAAGTAGCCATTCATAACTTTGCTCAGAATTTTGTAATAAATGACTGAAATTTTGAATATATTCATCTTTCATTATCTTTTTTTGAATTATATCCACTTCATTAAAATATATATATATATTAATGTTATTATATTACATCTACTTACAATTAACGGTGCACCAGCTGGTTTATCAATTAATAAAGGTGATGGACTCATCACAGCCATAGCCATAATATAGCTAGCAAATCCACTTCCAACTAGTGTTAAAATCAGCAGCTTACTTAATGAAGTCACTTGAACAAAAAATGCCAGAAAACAAGATAAGGGACAGGCAATGTTACTCAAACTTACTGCAAAGTGATAGGGATCATTTCCATAAGGAAGGCAAGAATAAGCCTGTATTGAAGGCATTGTCCCATTCATAAGAGCATTTATCCAAGCTGTCATCATAGCTAAAACAGTAAATCGAAACGCTGATATTGTTTGTTCGTACGTCTTTTCATTTACATGGTCTGTTTTTTCTCCCTGAATGGCTATCTGTTTCTTTACACGCCCGGAAAGTAACGCAGATTGAGAATCATTCTCGCTAGCAGCATTTATAAAAAACCTATCGTGATTATCACTGAGTTCATATGTGTCTTCTGTTTCAGCAATATCTGAACTAGTTCCGATACTGTCTGTTTCAGACAAGTGCTCTTTTTGGCAATATGGTAAATAATTTAACAATGTAAAGGCTACACCACTTAATATCATCATGCCAAACAAAACAAAGAAGAATATTTCAATTGAGAATTTAGGTTGCTCGTACACTGGAAACACATTATATTCTGTAGTCATATTAACAACAGTTCCATTGATGGTGATATTTTTCGTAGAAGTAGAATTGACACATTTCATTTGTCCAGCTCCCTGTCCCAACGCCAACATACTTGGTAAAAGTCCACTAAGGCTTTCTCCAATAAATAGTGCTGTCATGTATTGCGGTTTAAATAATGCCATGAAAGGATAAAATGCCACAGATGATGTGCAATCAACTATTGCCAGGAAGAACTGTAGAGTTAGTAAAGCGGTGCTATGTAAATTTCCTGCGATCATTGTCACTGTATTCCAAAAGAAGGCAAGAAGAAGGCATGCAATGGCGCCTACTGTAATTATGACATAAATGACAGGCGTTTCTTTCACCTTACTTGGCCAGAAATAATTTGAAATTGTAAAAGCCAAAGGTCCAATGTTGGCAATTTGAATAATGATTGCCATGTAGGAAGGTAAATTCCATTGTTCTGGTAACTTCTGTACCAATATTGGCAACTCTACCCACAAACCATTGATGTCTACCCATGATGAAATAGCAAATACAGCAACAAGAATGTACACAACAACATTTATGTCCTTTGAAGCAATGTCACATCCCATTTTGATTATTCTCTTTCTTCCTAGTCAAGTAAATTCTATGCAGATATACAATAGATTTGGAGAGGTATTATGTCCTGATATCTGAAATTTCACAAAAACTTGAATTAAGCATTTTAAAATTATGAAATCTGCTGAGTTGTTGCTATATAATATTTTCTTAGGGGCTTTGACCTACAGAACTGTTTGGACCGAATGAATAGTTCAGTAGGCAATATTTTACAAGATCACTAGATTATTCTTGAAATTGAAGACAAAAAAAAGATTAGATGGTGTCACTGTCTCTATACTGTCTGAGCCATCCTGTCATCACAATGTAAAATTTTCAAATAACTAATAAAAAGTTATCTCTTGTAAAATCTATAAATGTAAATTCGCCAGAGTAATTTTAAATTTTTATTTGGGTTGATAATAATTTATGGATATATTCTGACATAGCTGTTCATGTGTATGTTTACCTATATCAGGATCACTGGTTTTAAATATACTCAAACAAATTTATGAAAAAGTTTTATTATTTGGGGCAATATTTTACTGTGACATCTATTCTGAATATTCAGAGATATCAGATCTATAGCACCGAGTTGTATGGGTTTTTTCAGTTTCCCAGTAAATCAAAAACACTGATTTATTGTATATTAAACATATATTATGCAAGAGCTATATATCTGCCTATTGCAGGTCTTTCTTTAGGCCTGAAATGTTATCTAAATTATTTATTAGACATTAATTATCTTATCAACTCTCGGTGCCATCGCTAGCCTGCGGTATTTAGAGGATTGGAATACATTTTTTAAAAAATAATTAAACGTAAAAATGGATAATCAGGACTTTTTTTTTATCGTACCGACTTTAGTAATGATGATCAAGGCTAGCCTTAAATTCAAAAGCTAATATCTTGGTTCAGAGTGAAGAAATTTTCAGCATACTCTATTTACGTTATCTACATGTATTTTTTAACTAGTATAGCCAGAATTGTCAACTCTTTATCTAATCTCCCATAATGTCCCTTTAATTAGATGGCTCACACAGTAAGCTTAATGAAAAAAAAACATGTCAGGGATTTTTTGGTCCAAAATGCACTCTAGAAACATTCAATAGTTATTACATACAGTAAACCTTGCATAAGTCGGATTCGTATAAGTCGGATCTTCACTCAACTCAAGAGAAAATCATTTGGACCCTTTGATCCTGCAAGTTTTTCTTATTAAATTTCTGCGCGTAAGTCGGATTTCCTAAGTCGGATCTTCGTTCAATTCGGACCAAAATGGACGGTCCATTTGATCTAATTCTGGCTTTTTTCCTACGCCTAACCTAAGTCAGATTGGCAGTATGTTCACAACATGCTGTTAAAAATATGTCCCCCTCCGTCTAGCTGACGCTATTGAAATCCAAATACAGGGCAGCGCACAAATTTGCGCAACTCGGCCATATAAGACGAAACGAAATTGGAATTTTTGAAATAATTTGATTGTAATTGGGCTAGGCAAAGCAATAATTGACTGTTCAAGTTTCTCAGCGATTCTAATTTTTTCCCACCCAAGCTTACCTTAATTTCGTTTTGTCTTATATGACAAAGCCACGTAAATCAGTACGCCACCCCACATCTAGACATCAAAATCATTTAGCAGAAGGGGACAGATTTTTATCAGTATGTTGTGTTGCACATACTGACTCTAGCAAGGTAAGCCAGGTCTTATTTTCTCACTAAAATGTTCCTTTACATTGTTCGGGCGTTCACTGAGACTGACACACGACCGTTTAGCAGTACAAAAGTTGCCCAGTAAAATTGACTGGGAACCGATTTTATTTCGACAAAAATTCAATAGGACGGTTCCTGAACGTACAAGGCAATAATGAGACCTACGTTCAGAGCTGAACTAGGTGTTCGGCTAACTCGGATCTTCAATTAACTCGGATAAAATTGGTCAGTCTATTTAGATCCGACTTATGCGAGAGAGAGAGAAATGGGGTTTAACGACCACTCGACACAAACTAGGTCATTTCGGGACTAACATATGGATTTTTAAAAAAAATTTATTACAATAATTCGCTTGCGCATAGGCGTCTTTAGCAGTGGGAGGAAACCAGAGGACCCGGAGAAAACCCACGAGGTTGGACATGCAACCCTACTCCTTGTCACGTACAACCGGGGATTCGAAACCACGCCAGTCGACTCAATGACAGACTTTATGATACACCGCGTGCACGCTAACCATTCAGACATCCCCCCCCCCCCCCGACTTATGCGAAGGCGAAGTTTACTGTAATTATAATAACATATAAATTTATATAATATGTCTGCGTTCATTAGCCCGATTGGTGTTGAAAAGTGGGACGTTATAAACCCCATTAAATTACATTTCCCTGATTACATCAGCTATATAATAGATCCTGGTAGTGGTATGAGTATGACATTGACAAGTCAGTTTACATCATTTATTATAGGCCTATATTAGACATAAATTGTTGTACGAGTTTCTTTTAGTAACAAAGGTTATATTCTCACCTCCTATATATTCCACAACGTCTAAAACATATACTATTTCGGTATCAATTAATTTCAATACACAAAATTATTATCATACTCTCTGCCCTTGTAAAATGTTGAGAGACATCGTTTCATTCACAAATTCACATGTTGTTTACTTGGTGAGAAGGAAGTTTATGACGTAGTCTTGGACAAACAAACGTATACAAACCATAAGTCATGATAACCAAGACTACAAAGACCCATTTCGTCTAAACTATGGATACAAATCCGCCAAACCGCCGTGTAGTAAATCAACTAGGATGTTGGTATAAACTTAAAAAAGTTATCTATCACTTGTAACCCAATTTCTATAGCAAACGTTCATAAAAGAAATCGTTTCTTTAATAATATTATTAGGAATCGAAATATAAGTATCCGTGCCGGTCCATATACAGACTCCGCTTGATTCACGTCCCTTTTTAAACTTATCCAAAAAAGCCGGAAGTGTTCGGTGAACGAAAATAAAGAGTCTCGAAAATAAACAAAAGAAAATAAAACAAGATAGCTAAAGAAATGGGTAAAAAACACAAGAAACATCATAAATCAGATCGAATTTCGAATGACGAAGAAACGGGTGAGAAATCGTATTTTATCTTCAATGTCTGGTATGGCCATGGGCCAAGTTAGGAAGGAACTTGGAAGGGTGTCTTAAAGTAGCTAAGTCTCTAACTCAATATCATCCAAAATCTTCAACATTGAAAACACAAATTATTTGTCAATTTAAATCAACATTGATGCTGTGATCTTACCGGAAAAATGTGGGCTTCTGATATCCAATATTTAAGACAAAATAAACATTTTACCATTGGTACACGAATAGTGTACCATAATCAATTCAGCCCCAGTTCTAGCAAGAGACTCGAGGAACGAGGCTAGACATATTGCACCAAACCATAGATAATACCGTATGATTGCCGACTCATGAATTCTCGACGTTATGTTGCGAAACGCGTGAAACGGCGAGAAAGGTGGTTAATCACTTCCGGTCTTCTGTTCTCGCTGTTTGTTTACTATAGGCCCAGTAGCGATATTTTTATTTAGCGCTTTCTTGTAGTATTAAATGTGGCATCATCTGGTTAAATGGTAACGAGAAATAGAAGCAATGTTCGAGGTAAGAATAAAAATGAATATCTTATAATTTTGATATTATATTGTATTATAAATAAGTATTACATTTCATGAAAATCTCGACACGTGTGTTGTCCAGTTAAGGCAAAGTTTGACAGCTTTGACCTACTTTTAAAAATCGGCAAAATAGAGTTTTCAATTCATTAATTTGTAAAATAATACTTGCAGATCATTAATAAATCGTAAATATATAAAATACAGTTTGGTATGAATAATAACATTGCTGTGTTGGCTATATATAAGCTTTTAATTACACAATTTTTTAAAAATCTTTTGTATTTTCAGCAGAACGTACTGGTAGTGGTACCCGTCTTTTGTTTGCTACCTAGGGGCCTAGGGGAGTGCCAGCTTGTGAAGCAAATATATTTCATGTTGATTTATTGTGATACTGATAAATAATTGTATGTTTTATTTATGTTATTTACTTCTTTTCATATTGTGTGTGTGTGTGGGGGGGGGGGGGGGGTATAAATATTGAGACACTAGACATTAATATATTGATAAAGTATTTTATTTTATGTATCTATTTATTTATATTTTATTTTTTTTTATTCCATTTTTTTTGGGGGGGGGGGGGGAGGGGGGGATATTATTATTTTCATTATTTTATTTGTTTTATTTTAATACTCAACAAGGGATTTGGTTTAAATTGTTTGATTGTATTATATCATTATTGATTTTAATTTTGTATAGTTGAATTAAGCATAATTATTTAATTTTATGTATTTCAAACATCAGAAAATAAACCATTCAAGCTATGTGTAATGTGTTTGTATGGTTATGTTGATGGTTAAATAGGTTGAGAATTGAAGCCAAATGACCAACTTTCGCGAAAAAGGGGATCTGCCAGTTGGTGTTACAGAATTCAGTCAATTTTGCTCCGATATTGATAAGGTTGGTTTTGTTACAATGCTGAGATGTATGGCTTTTCAGGAAATAACACGGTTCTGGAGAAAAATTAATATTTAAAAATAGCTGCCGGTCAATATTTAAGGATATGGGTTTACTGTTCCATGTAATTAAATTAATCATTAAAAATATAACCTACAATTTTTGTTTCAATTAAATAAGTTAATCTTAACAATAATATTAGGCTATTGCATTTTTTGATTTAAATAATTTAATCTTATCAGTTGAGGAAGAAGAGTTGGTATTTCAATCTAATAAGGTGCCTATAAATTATATAATTATTCATCCAATTATGTAACATTAACATTGTCTGATCGCTTTATTTAATAATACATTTATTAATTTATCATAAAAGTATTGTTAATTAAAGATGCGTTTTTAAATGTTAAACAGGCATGATGTAAGAGCTAAATCTGCTTATTGCAGGTCTTTCTTTGGGCCTTAATGTTATGTAAATTATCAATTAGACATTTATTTACATGAATAGACCATAATCAACTCTCATGCCATCTGATTGCTCAGATTTTAAATAGATTAGAACGGTATGGTGGTAAATTTTCAATATATTCAATTTGCATTATCTATTTTTGAAATGTTATAGTTAATAACGAGAACGACCAGCTCTTTATCTAAATCTTACATAATTCCCCTTCAAATTTATTTCTATTGTTATTGTTTTATTTTAATTTAGGACACAAAGAAATATATTTTGGTTCTCGCTTGGATGACGTGTTTTAATTATTTTTTTTTAAAAAAAAACCCTTACAAAACAGTCTTGTTAATTACCCCGGTTACACGAAGTAACTCTGTAAAAAAATTTGACTAGATCTATAGGCTAAATTGTCAAGTATGCAAACAAGTTAAATGTTAATGACATGAATGATATTGGATACCGTAATCATATATTCATATAAACAACATGATGAGATAAATGTAGTGCCTTACAATTTTTAAAAACTCATCTGTTACAAACAAGTGATAACTTAGAGCTAAAGACTTTGTGTAGGTATGTTTTGCCAAGCGCTATGAACACAATTTTTGCGGAATTTTGGCGCTATAGAAATGGACGTTCATTATATTTATTTATTTGGTTCTTCTGGAAAAATACATACATCTATTTAAACACCAAAAGTACTTGGCTGTACTGTTCAAAAGCTTATAGTTCCAAATTTTTAAACAAAACATCTTTCACATGATTTAATTAGCTATTTATTTTTATATCGAAGCCCGAAGAACAGGAAATCAAATTGGTGTGGCCAACATTGAAATATCAGATATCAAGGATGAAGTTGCCTTTATCAACTCTTGTAAATCTTTTAATGTACAGGATTCCTGGAAGAATCTATTTTAGAACAAAAATTCCTTTTCATTGACAACTAAAGCAATAATTCCGTTTTTATTTAATACTAATAGTGTTTTCTTTTTCCTTATATATAATTGTTATATCTACTGAAGCTAATTTAATTTCTCAACAAAGCCTAGATCAAAAAGACTATGAATAATTGCTTACATTGGGGTGGATTTATATAAGTAAACTTTTTTCCAGTTGTGCAAGCTGAAAAAAAAGTATGTGTGTATTTTTTATTTTTTTTTTATTTGGGGGGGGGGGGCTGCATTTATAAAATTAACTAAATTAAATGACAGAGGGACTTAAAATAAATAAATGGCCATTTTCTAAAATTATTAATTAGGCCTAGATTGGAAAAGAATTTTGTAGGGATATTTACATCTTTATCAACTAAAGTATACAAACAAAGCTGAATTTATTAAAAAAAAAATGCACATTTAAATATAAACAAGATTTTTAAAACTGTTCTAATATACCATGCAATTGATAATAAAATGCAACATCTAATTTTATTAATCATACTATTACTAATTACTGTCTATAGATAGGCCTATACCGTAGGCCTGTGTGTGGCACAGAGGTGCGGGTTAGTTAGCTCGCAATATAACCTTTTTCCTTCTGCAAATTAAATTGTAGAACATTTTTTTTGAAGTATTAGAAAAATAAAAATAAAGGTGTTTGAAGTATTATCTCTATATCAGAAATATTTCCTAATTTTAGTGTAAATTGGTACGGTACATGATTCATGAATGAAGAAAGGCATTTTTTGCCCATTTGTAACCTTTTTTCAACTTAACGTCACACAGTAGCTATTTAATCTTTTGCAATATTCTAAAAATATTTTGGAAGGAGATATCTTGTTCTTTTTTTTCATATAATTTTTATATACGTGTTCATTTTATTAATTTCATAAACGTAAGTTTCAAAAATGTCAATTTCGCGTGTCACTGTGCGTACGTACTATCGAAACTTAGACCGGAAGTAAACAACCCCCCCTGCGCAAAAAAATATGCGCACGAACCAGAACGCAACATCACGTAAAGGGCTAAAGACGAGTCGGCAATCATACGGTATTATCTATGACCAAACCAAACAGCGTATGTAGACTGGAATAACCAGGCGCTAGAAATTTGCATTCGATTGAGACTGCTGGCTCTCGCGGAAGATAACTGATTTGAAATTAAGAGTAAAAACGGAAACCATTGAATGTATATCAGTTTATATACATTCAAATTACAGTATTATATGAGTTCCGACCCACTTGTGTCAATTTCTAGGTCCCAAATGTTAGCGATTTAGCTCCTTTAATCAGACGATGACCTCTCGCCGGTCTGAGTTTATTATTCCCACCTCTGTTCTTAAGGTATTTTGGAATCCGTACCGTCAATATTTCACCGAGATTCTTCTTTGTTCTCCAAAAGGAACTATTTCTCGCCACATCTGACACAAATTTATAATAATTCAACACTATTTTCAATTCTTTAGTAGAATTTTGCGATTCAATAAACAATATCAATATAAATATATTTGAATGCAGTCTGCAGAGATTGCCCGGTGCACGCACGAGTAATTTTTTTCAGAGATCGGTGCACGCAAATTTTCTATAGATTTGCATGCCAGTTTGGCACAACATTTTTACCTTGCACGCAGCAACTTTGTCAGTACTAATTGTCATTTTTTTCCATATTGTCTATCGGCATTCGATAATAACAATAATACCTGACATACAAGGGAGACAACTACCATAACGGTAAGTAGTGAAGTGACACAGTGTGCGAGGCAAATTGAACCAATCGAGTTACCATGTGTGGTTAATGTATGCGTGCAGTGGTTGCTATAATTTTGAATTTCAATGGTACTTTTTTTAAATTACACGCCAGAAGAAATAGCATAATTTATCACTCGTGGATTTATCTGCTTCAGACTTGAAGTGTTAGGTTGCACGCCGGAATTTAGTAAGGATTTTCATTGCACGCTCGGTGTATTTCTTACGATATGAATCTGTTGCATGGTGTAGAAATGGTCGGCTATATAAATAGTCAAAAACTGACAAAAATGATTATCAGATATGGCCCGGATTTGAACTGATTTGTAAAACACACACAGACTTAGATAGATGGATCTGAGGTGGCTCAAATGCACAAGGTGTATTTTTTACGATTATATGAATAGAATGAATCTGTTGCATGGTGTAGAAATGGTAACCAACTTATATGTTTTAGATAAAGTAGGTGCTTGAAGTTCGAAAATGCAAATGACGATCAGCAGTACAGAAATATGCCATATATAATTTAGTGTTCTATTCTTACAGAAGTGGACAGACCAGTAACCAAACCATTAAAACTAGTGTTGAAAGTTGCACAACCTTCTGATAGTCTATCTGACAACTACAGCTCACCAGCGCACGATGAAAAGAAACATAAACATAAGAAAAAGAAGAAGAAAAAGTCCAGTGATAAAGAAAAATATAAAGATAAAGATGAGGTACAGTACATTAATTATAACTTAACCGCAATAAGATATTCTTTAGATAGCTATTTTGCAGATTAAAAACGTAGGTTAGATGCCATTTTGAGTATATATTCATGATTCATCGGTTAGACATTCACTAACAATCTTATGGAAACAAAACATTACTGCATGAAATTGATGGAAATTAATTGGGTTGAGCAAGGTGAAATTCTACCAGTATGTTATACTCAGATAGAACATCTTATTTACTGGATAATTTATATATAGCTATTGATTTGTGAACATTATACTAAACATTTTAAACATTTGTTTAATTTTACTTCTATTTGTAATTGTTTTATTTCTTTAGAGTCGAAAGAGAAAAGCTGAATCTCCTATATTGGAGGAATACGATAGTCAGGAATCGCCGGTCGTTAAGAAACAGCAGCTTGAAATTGATGAACCAGAAACGAAGATGGAAGTAGATGATTCAGATACAAAATCTGAGTCCAGGTTTTCAATGACACAAGAAAATGATGGAGCCTTATTAAAAGTTTGTCTTCAGTATCTTCAGAAAACAATTCAAGGGTGAGTTTAGAAAACATTTTCCATAGATTAGTGTATCAGACAGAGAAAATTTTACATAGAAATGAAATGAAATGGGGTTTAACGTCCTACTGTTCTGCTCCTATGCTGGGCTAATGAAGATGGACATACGCCATACAGTGTGCTATGAGGGAAATTTTGTCCAGTCTGTGGCACTATCGCCTGCTCTTATATCGAATTCCAACTGCCAAGGGATCTTTTACGTGCATTCCAATGTATACACAGTACCTCGATTTTTCGTATCATCCGAAGGACTTGACAGCTGTCCTTGTCAGGCCCTCCGTCCTGCATCACTGACAAGGGGGAACCACGCCGGAAAATCTGGATGAACTTTCTCGGCCAATGCAGGGATCGAACACCCGACCTCCAGGCTAGCGAGCCAGCGTCTTACCCACTTAGCCACTTGATCCCCCTATTACATAGAGCTAGTTGTTTGGCCATTATTGGATCATCATATACACACAGACAACATTTATAGCCAGTTCATTCTAGGTTTTTGGTCCACCATCATTATGCTATCTATTACATAGAGCTAGTTGTTTGACCATTATTAGATCATACAGTATACACACAGACAACATTATAGCCAGTTCATTCTAGGTTGGACCACCATTATGCTATCTATTATATGGAGCTAGTTGTTTGGCCATTACTGGATAATCGTATACACACAGACAACATGTTTATAAACATCTTTTATCTCTCTTCTTCTTTTATTTATTTCTCTGTTGGTATATTTGCCATATCTCAATCATTACAATATGGGGGCACTTACTTGTATCAAGACGTGCAGAGTAAATTTTTGTAGCCACAAAATTTTTCACACGTTACCTGCCACAAAATATTGCACACAAGTGTCATGACGTCAAAGTACGTCATTTGTGGCAAAGCAATGGTGGTAATCAATAGCAGATATTACTTGGAAAATAATCATTTGCAAGCTTCTTAATCAGAAATAAGATTTTTGAAAATGCACTTCTGTCATGCAGAATGAGAAAGGATCTTTTCGAAACTCCCAATCAATCATCAAGTCAAATGTATTTTGTTACTATTTGTCTTCAACAGGAAAGATACACATGGGTTTTTTGCATTCCCGGTAACTGATGCTATAGCGCCTGGTTATTCTAGTATAATACATCATCCAATGGATTTTAGTGCCATGCAAGCTAAAATAGAGAACGAAGAATATCGCAGTGTTGGTGAATATAAGGTGAGATATATTAAAGATATATTATGTAAGATTTAGATAAAGAGCTGGCCGTTCTTGCTATAATAGTTAAAAAATAGTGAGAAATGAATATGTTGAAAATTTCAGTCAAAATACTTTATTCTGAGTGAAGTGTTTGAAGATTTCACAAGATAGTCTTGATTGTCAAGTACCGTTGCTATTATAAAAAAAAAACAACCAAAGTCTTGATTATCCATTTTAACATTCAATTATTAAATGATGCAGGTGTGTTCTAATTCATTCAATACCACGGTCATCAGATACTCTAGAGCCTTGATTATGGGCTTGTTATGTGTCTGTCTATATAATAATTTATATAACATTTGAAGCCAGAAAAAAGACCTGCAAGGGGCAGATTTAGTATATAATGCATCATTAACTGTACCATAATTTATAGGTTGTTTTGGATGACGCATTTGGTTGTGTCGGTTAGAGGACACTGGACTCACAACCAAATATTTCAATCCTTTGGGAGCTTTCAAATCAAGTTCGCACCGGTTGATCCCTACAGATGAGAACCCTTAGCAGTCAGAATTTGAAGAAGAGTAATTGGATATGCCACTGTCTGAGCCTTATTCTTCATCTTGCATTGTATGTGTAACCATAGAAAACAGAACATATTTTAATCTCAAAATGACATATTGAATGCTACTGTTTTTCATTGATCTCATACAAGAATTTGATTGTTTTACAGAAAGATTTTGTTTTGATGTGCAATAATGCTATGACATATAACAGACCAGAAACTATTTATTACAAAGAAGCTAAACGATTACTGTTTATTGGTGTTAAACAACTTAGTAAGGTATGTAAAGAAGACATCACCATCAGTGTATCTGCCTTTCTACACTTATTTAAGAATGGTTTAACGTGTGTGCTTTACTTCATACAGTCTGTCAACGAGTCAAGTGGCGTGGTTTTGATTCCCCACTTGTATGTGACAAGAAGTAGGGTTGCCTGTCCAACCTAATGGATTTTCTCAGGATCCTCCAGTTACCTCTCACTGCTTAAAACCCATATGTACCCAAATGTGCAAGATAATTATTGAAATAGAATTGAACCATGTGTTTGTCCTGAAATGACTTAGTTTGTGTTGCGTGAATTATTTATCTCTCTATCTTTCTCTTTTCTTCACTTATTTCAGATTTATTAGTGGGAAATTTTAAATGATTTGGATTAAGAATAAGTTGTTGCTCTCAATGCAATTTATCTGTGGGTATCTGTCTACTGCTTTTGTGTCGACTCTTGGCAGTTAGACCAATAATGAAACTAAAACTAATAAATAGGTTTAGCTGCTCCTTTTAGTGTTTATACTAAATGCCAATTTAACTAAATGTTGGAATAGTTAATGAGTTGATTATGTTCATTGCCATTGCATCAGGAATAGGGGGGAGGGGGGGGGGGTGGATGGCTGAATGGTTAGCACGTGCGCGCTGTATCATACAGTCTGTCATTGAGTCAACTGGCAGGGTTGTACGTGACAAGGAGTGGGTTTTCTCCGGGTCCTCCGGTTTCCTCCCACTGCTAAAGACCCCTACGCGCTATCGAATTATTGAAATAAAATTTAACCATGTGTAAGTCCTGAAATGACCTAGTTTGTGTTGAGTGGACGTTAAACCCCATTTCTCTCTCTCTCTCTCTCTGCATCAGGAATAAGAGATATTAGAGACTATAAGTTGGCTGTATTTATTTTATTCAACGATTTTTCTTGTTTATTTTACACATGTGTAACTAAAAGAAGATTATGTCTATATTAATTTAGTAACAATTTATTGCATGGCTGAATTTGTATTGTAGGAGAAGTTATTACATATGAAGAAAAGTATGAGTTTTTTAGCTAATTTATCATTAGAAGAAATGGGTTTAGATGAAATAGATAAATCAGCTGAAGTTGTTAATATGATTAATGAAGAAGAACAAAGACAAAAAGAACTCCAAAAAAAGAAAGAAAAGCAAAACAAAAGGTAAAAATGAATTGTGTAACTATCAGATTAGCTGATTATAGTTGTCTGCGGTTGTTTAATGTTTGAAACAAAATCTGATGGATAAAACAATGAACCTGCCATTATGGTATCACAGATCAATCTACTTTCAAAGAGTTCACTTATTACTTGTTGATTAAGAAGCCAGTCAAGCCACCAGATAATCCATAGCATTCATCCAAGTGTAAGATGATGCAAAATCGTTTTGCTTAGTTCACAATCAAATGAAATGAAACAGGGTTGTTTAGCATCCTACTTTTATGCACTAATAAGTCTTAATGAAGACGTCAGATCACGAACAAAGTAATTAGCACATTTTAACCATATTAGTATTAGGCATTATTACTGCACGTTTTGCTCTTATCTCATTATTTTTGTGTTTATTTATTTCTATTACAGTTTAGGAAGATTTGAAGCTGTACCAGATAATCTATCACCAGAAGAAATATTAGCACAAGCACAAGCAGCAGCTAAAGAAGCTAAAGAGGAATTAACTTTACGACAACCTAAAACCGATGTAAGTATATTATGCTTTTGAGTCTAAGGGCAGACTGTTTTAGGCCTAGAAATATAAAAATATTTTTTTACAGTATAAACTTCTAGTGGTTTTATTACATGTATGTCAGTATTACAGGAAAGTATTTAACACAGGCAAAGGATCAACTTGGGTCCACTATCTTCATTTTTATATCTAATACAACTAGTAATTTCTTGCAAGAGGCAATTGTTATGGAATATCAGAATTATTTAATTGGCTTTTTTATTAGTTGGTTTCTTTAGATATATATGAGTCATATTTTATTTTTCAGTTTGCTTTTTTGAGAAAAAGGGAAGATGGTAGTACAACATTAAATATTTTAAATCCTGATAATGATGGCAAAGGTAAAGTTTCAATTTATATTTCTTGTCTGATTTGACTTAATATTCCTCTGTTTGCAGAAGACTTGTCACATTTTGTGTTTTTTTTAAAAAATATTTTGCAGTGGGCCCAATTCACAAAAACGTAAAGTAAAATATTATAAGAATTCAACCCTTTTATTTCCTATAGCTAAAATTTGTCCCCGGATTTTAACTCTCTGCCAATAAACTGGCTGCATTCTTAACAGATTTTCATGTTAAGTTTCGTGAACTAATATTGATGTACTATATGGTTATTGCAGGTTTTATTAGGTTTATTTTTCATTGTGATGGATGAATATTTGTGAACTCTATAGATATTGTAGTTATTATTAATTTTTTTAAAAAATAAAGTAATCATTTCATTCCTTAAATTATTAAGATAAGTTGAATTTATGGAACCATTATCACTTTCATGAAGAAAATAATTTTTTTATTTTAATGATTTTTTAATGATGACATTTTAAAAATTTATTTATATATGTTACAGTAAGTGAAACAGAGAAAGTTGTAAATATTGGAACGTTAATAGGAAAGTTAACCTCAGGGACGGGCACACTAGCTGCTTATAAAGAAGATAAACGAAATAAAGTTACACCAAGTAAGTTAATATGCAATATTGCTAGAAAACCTGATACCACTTTAAATTTATTTGAGGTGTTTTATATCATAATATTTGAAATTATATCAATGGTATATGGAAAGGGTATGAGTCATTATTTTCACGGACTAAATTTTTTTAAATAACTAAGACAGTTATCTTATTCAAATTTAGGAGTCTCTTTCTTTATTAATAATAATCTTCAGTACAGCTTTTCTGAGCCTGCATTTGACCATTTTTTTTTCAAAATCATGGCATGATATATTCTAAATAGGACATGTTATTGCTTGAAAACTGTTTGGTAGAGAGTCATGCTAAAAAAGACTGGGAAAGAGTAAATAAAGGGGATATACTGTATACGCTATTGTGTCTAGAGCATCTGATACCACACCTTAATTATTTGACAAGTTCTAACAGATAATAAAAATGTGTTATACGTTTCCATTTAATACTTAATAAGAATATATTTTTATGGCTACACATAATATCAGTTGTAGTGAAACTGCTGTGTACTTGAATTTCAATTTTCCAGGCATTTTTTAAATATGCTATCAATATTATGAGATTTTTCTAAATTATTCTCTTGTTATTTCAGTTAACTATTTAAACTATGGACCATTCAGTAGTTATGCACCAACATATGATTCTTCTTTCTCAACTTTATCTAAAAGTGAATCAGATCTTTTATTGGCTACATATGGTGATGAGACAGGTGCTCAATATGCTACCAGGTAAGACACCATGGTCAATACTACAGGACATGCTGGTCGAGGATTGGGGGTGTGGGCTGTGGGGGGCGGGGGGTGCATATAGGTCTAATTGTACAACTGACATAAAATAAAATCATCATACCTAAGTTTTTTCAAAAATTTGAAATTAATTTCATCAATGCTAAACGTCAGAAATCATCAGTATTTTTTGTGGATAAAAAGTAAATGGTAAACATAATACTGTTTTTGACACAGTAAATTTGTACACACAAAAGACAAGAATGCTAGTCAATTATTTTTATTTTGCTGGAGGTTTTGATCCGGTCACCTAAAGAAACCAACAGTTTTTTTATACACCGTATTTATTGTGGACCCTATAAATGTCAGATGATTTTGCTACGACTTACACTCTATAAATGTATTTCTCTATAATTATAGTGTAATGGATTTTGTGGATACTTCTGGTGATTATGCTGTTAAAATGGTGAATAATTTATTAGATATCTTAACTAAATGTGAACACAGTAAAACACAGAGAATATTAGAAGCTAAACGTAAGGAAGAAGAACAACAGAGAATACAAGATGCTAAAGAAAAGGAGTCTATTAATAGCGTGGTAAGTTCTATTATTGTTATTTTTAAGAACAGGGAACTATTAATAGTATGGCAAGTTCTATTATTATTTTTAAGAACAAAACACCATTCATAAGAGCTGTTCTGTTACATTCTTAGAACATGACACTAATAGCATGGAAAGTTCTGTTATAAAACTAATAGCATGGGAAGCTCTGTTATAAAACTAATAGCATGGGAAGCTCTGTTATAACACTAATAGCATGGGAAGCTCTATTATAACACTAAGAGCATGGGAAGCATTGGGAGTTCTATTATATTTTTAAGTATAGGACATCAGTAGCATGGAAAGTTCTATTATATTTTTAAGAACAGGACATTAAATAGCATGTGAAGTTTTTAAGAACTGGACTATTAATAACTATAGCCTGGTACGTTCTATTATTAATTTCTAAATATATTCTAATGTTCGAATATGCATAGAGAAACTTTTGTAAACAGTTTTGGTATCTTCAAAAAATATGTTATTAATATGTTATTTTTTTGCAGGTTGCTGAGCACACAGCAGTAGATACATCCATTGTTAAAGAAGGTAAGAATTTGGTCTTATAAAGAAATTATTCTGGTTCTCCTCAGACAACTCGTGTTGCTTAAAAAAATCCACAAATAAAATGAATAAAAACATCCGCGGTCATAGTTCTATGAGTCCGGAGCAAAAACACAGAAACTATTTTTATGAAAATAATTAGAATTGATAGGGACCATTGTACTAGCTATTCCTGAAAATATGATAAAAATCAGCATAACCCTTGAACTACAGAACTTTTGCAAAATAAGTCAACAGAGACCCCAATATTAACTGTTTCTGAAAATTTGAGCAAACTCAGTTATGAACTTAACTGATTGAGTGCATCCAAGTCAGTGTGGACGGCCGAACAGAGGTGACACCATTTTCTGATCACATCAACATGTGTAGGTTTATAAAAATGGCAATAGTTTTAGGAAATTTGTCAAATTTTAAATGTCTTAAGTTAAAGGAGCTAAATCGATAACATTTGGGACCTAGAAATCGACAAAAATGGGTCGCAACACATATAATAATGTAATATGAATGTATATAAACTGATTTACATTCAATCGTTTCTGTTTTTACTGTAATTTCTAATCAGTTATGTTCGGCGAAATACGCCAGAAGTCTCATGTGAATGGCAATCTTTAGCGTCTGGTTTTTCCAGTCTACACAGATGGTATTTATTGCGCATGCTCTTCAGATAAGAATATAGTGTCACCATTTGACATGACTTGTGGAATATGTCTATCCCTGTTCTTTGAATGCCTTGTTCCAAATGGCGCTGAAACGCATTATGGTACCAATGGTAAAATGTTTATTTTGTCTTAAATATTGGATATCAGAAGCCCATCTTTTCCCTGTAAGATCACAAGACCATTGTTGATTTGAATTGACAAATAATTCGTGTTTTCAATGTCGAAGATTTTTGATGATATTGAGTTAGAGACTTAGCTACTTTAACCATAGCCCTGTATTTACAGAAATAAATTTATGTACATACAGAACAAGAACATTATATTTACATGCATTACATAAAATTTATTTGAAACTAAAACAAAAACTACTAAACATTTATGCATACCGGTATGCATGTATACAATCTATATTATTTTGTTAAATTTTATAATAATATAACTGTCACTGCTGTATTTGTGTATCATTTGTTATGGCTGTGTTTAATTCTGCAGTTATCCTTTTTTGTATATTATTTTCCGGTAAGGTTTCTTCTTGTCAGTGGTACAGGAAGGAGGGCCTGACAAGGATTAGCTGTCAAGTCATTTGGATGGGACAAAAAAATGAGGTCCAGTGTATACATTGGAGTGCACATCAAAGAACCCTTGGCAGTTGGAATTTGATGTAAGAGTAGGCCATAGTGCCGCTGCCCGAGCAAAATGTCACCTATAGCACAATGTTTTGCGTATGCCGGTCTTCATTAGCCCAGTCAGAGCAGAATAGTAGGACGTTAAACCCCATTTCATTTTTTTTTTGTATATTATTATTTATTATGCTTTTGATTTTTTCAGAATCAGAAATGGATAAAATACAACAGAAATTAGATCATACAGCTAGTTTAATTACTACATTACATGATAAACAGAAAGAAAGACTTAGTGCTAAATTACCCTCACATTTAGCTCATATACCAGGTCCTACAGAGAAAGAAGCTGAACTAGGTAAGCAGAACATAGAAATATAGCCCTTTAAAAATAAGGCATTTCCGAGATCATTATAGTCCTTTCTCCGAAAGTTGCAAAGAGAGTAATTTTTTAGAGCAGATTTTAATGATAGCTTATATTAGGTGACTGCCTTATTTGATAGAGCAGTTGATTTTTTGTATCCAATACTTCTTTGCTAGGAATATGACTGTATCTAATTTAGTGTGCCCTGTTTCAGTATTGTATCCAACGCTTCTTCGCTTGGAATATGTATCTAATTGTTGTGTGCCCTGTTTCAGTATTGTTTCTTCTGTCCGTGTTTTATTCTACATTTATCCTGCATTATCTATCATTAGCATGGTTTTCTTCTTTCTTTATGTATAATGATTCTTTTTGTTTTACAGCTGAAAAAGTTACACAAGAGTTAACTGCCCTTGCTAAAGCAGCTGCACCACAAGAGATAGTCAGTATGAATTCAGTTCGTAAAGCAATGGGTATAACACTAGTACCAGTTTCACCATCCTCTACACAACCAGCAGATGACAGTAATACCGAAGCAGACGTGAATAATCAGAGTATGAATAGTGATGTATCAGAAATAGACAATGAATTTCAGGAATTTTTGCAGTCGGCTTCATGAATATTTTGCATTATTTTATTATCATATTTTTTCTTTCATTTTTTTTCATCCTCACATCGTAATAAAAGAATGTAAAAATTGATTTTTCTCTTGATTACTTTCATGACTCATGCATCTTCAATATAAGGCTTGATCTTGCTTTAAATCTGTATATCTTATCAAGACCTCCACGTTGAACATGTGATTCAACATGGCGATCGGGGCGTTAATATAGTTAGGTATAGGTTAGTATTGAATAGTTTTATTGTAGGAGTCAAGATTTGGACTGAAGTGTCTTGGAAATCGGAAGTGGGAGACGACCTGCTATATGCCCCTACCCCTCGGTGTTCTAACTTTGGATTTATATTTAGTCTTGTAACCCTCTCATGGGTGTTATCTCAACACCTTTTTCTATATATTATCTCTTTATTGTATGACAAGTAACAATGTCACACAATTCAACATAACACATCCTTGTTACCAGATATGATACTAGAACATCAGTCTAAATGATCAGTTGACAAGCTCTGTACAGAGAGGGAGAGAGAAATGGGGTTTAATGCCCACTCAACACGAACTAGGTCATTTTGGGACTAACATATGGTTCAGTGGAGAAAACCCACGAGGTTGGACAGGCAACCCTACTCCTTGTCACATACAACCGGGGAATCGAAACCACGCCAGTTTACTCAATAACAAGTTCTGTATAACCCCGATAGTAAATCTGCTGATCCTGCTAAGAGGCCAAGCCCAGTAACCTTGCCTGGGTTTAGGAATGGTATAAATAAAAGCCTACAATGAGGGTCCAATCGGTTTGAAGATTTCTATAGAACGAAATTAATCACTGATACTCTGGATAACCAGATTAATAGCCTTTCTTATCTCTAATATTATACAAAGATTATTAGTCTGGATAAACACAGCAAAATGTAAACAGTTTTCAAGGTGTTGCAGAATTTCCATCTAAAAACCATGTAAAATTTAAAAAAATTTTTGCAGGAATATTTTATTAATTCTGTGTAAATATGGCAGCACAGATAACAATTCTATATCTACATTGTACATATAATAACATTTATATATAATAATATATTACTATGACATTTAATCAGAGGTCGTCTATTTAATTAATTACCATATAAATCATGACGAGAGAATTACAAGATTCTATCAATCATACCAAACACATGTTTATTACCTCTTTCTTTTCAAAATAAACCAATGATATGTTTTACATAAGTTGCATCTAGCTCTTTTTCTTGAATTTCGTAGATAAAACCTTGTAATTCTCAAGTAGTCACAATTCATTACGAATATACAAGATATAACAACAAACGTTATGCTATATTTAACAATATGCAATCTAACATAAAAATAGTATTCTTATTGATATGTAGCAAATTATATACTGTTCACAACTCAAATCAGTCTTGTCATATATTTAAATTTTCCTTTCATCTTAAAAAATCTATTTAAAATATAATTGTTTAAATGAATAGACATTTAACTATTTAATATTTACGGCTGTTAGCTATGCCTTTGTAACAGAACTTCGCCAGATCCAAACACCAATGAAAGATAGTTTGCAACAGCGCTGTTCAACTTTCAATATTGGTATTGTGCAAATAAGATTTGTGTAAAACTGAAAACATTTATCTATCTATAATAAATTTCCATTTTGTGCATTTTATTTTTGCATGTATAAAGAAAACAATTATTGCATACAGTACAATGAAAATCATTAAATAAATTATTTACTGATATTGAAGTACAATCTAGTTCAAATAAGGTTAGCTCTTTACACATGGTATATGTACTGATAATTCACTCAGGGACGGACTGGGATCTGGAAGGCTCGGAGATTGATCCCATGACCGGCCCCCAGTCTTAAGCACAGCCTAGCTTATGACTGAAAAGGGCCTTGAAACTACTTGAGAACATTTACTTATTTAAGGGAACAGAGTCTGCCATACATGCATGATCCTTCTCAGTCCGTCGCTGTATGAACTATTTTAAGGCATATGGTACTATATCTGTAAATATAAATGCACAGGAATACCTGTAAGTCTAAGAATGCCCTCTAGGAAGAGTAACTTATTTTAACGTTGTGTGCAAATACCTTTACAACAAATAATTTAATAAATGCAAATACATGTTTTTAACCTGAATGTCAAGATAATTCAAAGTATGTAGACACACCATCTTGATTTTTAGTTATATTATTATCATTACTCTATTTAAGTTTAATTTGTCAATTCCACCATCTCAGGAGGGTTTTACCATAAAAACAAAATTAGGCAAGAATTTCACCATTGGCCTTGGCCATCATTGGTGGATCTTTTGAAGACTGAAAGAATGACCAAGGTTCACAATTATCTATTAAAACTAGATATACTAGCCACATGGTTTCTGCCTTGGGTATTTCTCACTAGAACTAAATTTATAGAATTATGTTAATCAGTTCTATATATAACAAAACAAATTCTCCAGCAAGCATGTAAAGTATATTATTTTGTTTGATATTATGTATAAGGCAAGTACATTAATCCCAGCCCAAGCTTTATAACAGATGTATAAAATACAAGTGTAAATCTTTATCAAAAAAATCCAATTTCCGGTACTTCACAACCTCACAGTTAATAGATTAAAAAGACTGATTACTATTGCATTTACAAATCTTATATTAACTCCAGTGAAACATGCCATATACACATAGTGCTCCGTTTCTTATTCACAAGAACTTAAAGAAACCAAACCTCTTTGATTTTGGTCAATATAAATTATTGAATTGTGTTGATCTGAAAACTTATTTTGATTAGTGGTAAAAATAGTTCTTTATGATTCAACTTTCCTTTCAAAATATTAAGTTTTGTTTTTGGTTTAGATGTTGAAATGTCAAAACTATCTGAGGTCCTAAAATTTTAAATATAATTACATCAACACATTGACCCAAATCTAAGAGCATTTAGCTATTTTCAATTGTTTGTAAAATAAAATCATGATTGTAAAAATATCATCTCACTAAATCAAGAAATGATTGCAAGTTATATAAGTTTTGTTAATATTACTGCATTACTTTAATGTTGAGATATTTATTTGAAATTCATTTCCAAAAAGGAGGAATTCCTGAAGTTACTGGTAATCCATTGATACACCTGGGTTTAAATTCCAGATGGCTTACATGCAATGGGTCACCAATTATAAATCATAGCCACACTACCAAGTAGATATAGACATGGTTATCCAAATGCTGCAACTATGGAAACCTCTGGCCAATCACAGACCTTCATCAAGTCTTTCGAACAAATTAACCAGATTTGGAATGGCTCCTTTAAATTGTATAACAATAGTATAGAGTAACATAAGTATTTTCAATAATAAATTAAATGTCATTGATTTCATGTACTATGGAAATGAAATCCCAACATTTATGGACAAGAATATACAGCTCATTCACTAGCGTATGTGCGTTGAATCTATAATAGATTTATTGCAATAAAACGTGAGACCCTTATGTAGAAAATACACAACCGCATAAATAATACACAACCTCATAAATTATACACAATCAAGATAAACAGTCTAATTACCCTGATACTCATGTACCTGAAGTAAATTGTAATTTGACTCTATGACTGACAGTAAAGACAGGGTGAAGAGTTTGTTTAAATTTCTGATCCGTGATAACTTTCTTTCCACACAACATATCTCCCCATCTCGAACATTTGACTTTATACGAGAAAATTAAATTTTCAAATGAATCATGCGTTACCGAGAATGTGAGAGATACTGGTAAGTTACCTAATTCTAATAGAGATTCCATTTTTCCATTATGGCACATACAAAGATTGCCATTACTGCAAACGACACCATAAGATATGGGATTCATACCAACTTGATCCTTATTTTTCAATATTTGTGACGATATTCCAACTCCAAATAGATAACCAGTATTGATGTTTCCCATCTGGCTGGAATTTTTGTCAAACGTAATTGACCACAATGAATTAATGTCTATGCTTTCTGCTGTAAATGTGGTGGAACTAAAACCCCATGTATTTAAACTTTTACTCTGTACTCGAGGTGTGTCTGCTTTGCCAGGGGAGACAACTGATAGGATAGATGGTAATATAGCCTTACACTGATCATCTACATCAGCTGAAATAACATAACGAAAATAGAAAATAAGTTAAAATGAAAAACTCTGTGTGTGAAATTACGATAATAGTCAGTGGAATCTAGTAAAGAATTTAGCAGTCACACTTGTAAAGATGTTACCATAGAACCCCACAAGCCCCATCTATAACCACTCGGCAAGCCTCAGCAGATTCCAGTACCCTACATCTAGCCTCGGCTGTATGACGAAGTCTGCCATGGGAACTACTTTCAAGTTCCTGGATTACCAACAGTGTTGCCCATGACGACGCCTTTGAAGAATGTTTTATCATACAAATATTTCAAAGTCTGAAGCTGTTTTTCTTTCAAGTTTATCCGATTTTCTTGAAACATGGACAACTTTGCACTAAAAATTCTACACGCTTCGAACGACGCAATTTTAATAACTAATTTTTAAAAGTGGCAAGTTTTCCTAATAATTGTATACGCGTAGGTACATATCACTTGCCGTCATACAGCCGAGGCTAGATGTAGAGTAAAGGAATCTGCCGTGGTTTGCCGAGTGATCTATAGCAGATTTTAAACACTAAATACATCATGTTACTACCATTTTTATCTTATATTATATAAAAATAATGACTGGTAGTAATATTGATGATGTCACATATGACATAATAATTTTTTAACTCCAAATAATTTAGGGCATTAAGTGGAATTTAGGGCATTAAGTGGTGTAACATATGTGCTGTGAATCATGAGGTCTGAGTAGGGTCTAAATTTGTGGATTCTCTAATTGCTAAATGAAATAAAATTTACCATATTTTAGTCTTGTAATGACCTATTGATTGAATGTTTCAACTCTTTTTATTTCTGATTTTGAATCAAATATGCCTTTATTAATATAAAATATTTTATACCTACCAATTATGGAATTAACACAACCAAGTGAATTCTGTTTACTTTTATCAACAGCTTGTTTCAAATCATCAAGTTTCGGCTGATTGTTAAGAATTGTGGTATAACTTGTTTCTTTCCTATTAATTCTGAAAAATAAATATGACATATTATACATGTATATGTAGCTCTATTGACATAGCGGTGAGGGCCACAGCAGTTAGGAAACAAGACTTAAAAGCAGCCGGGGATTTTTCTAGCCCGGTTCAAACTCATCAGGGGTAGCTTCTATGAGACTAACAAGAAAAATGGTGCCTACTCATGCGGATGTTATTTAATACAACTCTTGTTGTATTTGTAAATGTTACTGCCCAAGCCAAATGTCTGTACATGCATTGCACACATGTCCATTGTGGTTCCCCCTTGTCAGTGGTGCAGGACAGAGGGTCTGTCAAGGGCGACGTATAGTCATTCGTATGGGACGAAAAACCGAGGTCAGGTGTACACATTGGTGTGCCCTTAAAAGAACCCTTGACAGTTGGAATTTGATATAAGAGTAGGCTGTAGTGCTGCTATCCAGGAAAAATTTCCTTCATAACACACTGTATGGTGTATGCTCGCCTTCATTAGCCCAGTCGGTGCAGAACAGTAGGACATTAAACCACATTTCATTTATTTTAAATGAAGTAGTAATATGTAGACACAAGTTTAATTACATGCAAGGTTTACAAGCTTAACACAAATGGAATCATATAAATAAACTTACTCTTTAGAAAACTTTTCAATTTGACTTAGAATAGGTTCAACTTCTGAGGCTTTCTGTAGAATTTCCTGATTATGGTCTTCATCCAGTAACTTTTTACAGTTTTCTGCCAGATTCTCCATGGATTTCAATATTTTCTTATTACTTTCTGAATGACCTTTATATAATGATGTGGTGTGTGCTTTTTGTTTGTTCATTTTACTGATCAAGCCTTGTTTCTGCTGATCAAGGGCAGACGTTAAATCATGGATTAACCGTCTGTAGTGATGATCTATCATCTCTGCTGCCTCCCTATGGATTTTCTTAAATAATATATGAAATTTTAATTAAATAATAATTCAAAAGGATTTTTTAGTTAGTAATCTAAATGATTAAAGGAAAAATTTCGGCTAAATGCGCTATTAAGCTTTACATCCATTGAATATGATCTTGGAGAGAAACAAGATGGCGACACAATAGAAAGTAATAGGCACTTAAGATGGCCATAACATCGTTTTGGCAAGTCTACTTTTATTGTGTATGGTCTTCAAGTCTACATGTATATCTGCCTTTTATTCTGGAAAAAATGTGCCTTTAATAATCTATCTGTTTTCATACAGATAAATCTAAATTTGTCCTACTTGAACAAAACTTTAGAAGAGACAGAGTTACCCCCCTTTAGTCTTCAACAATTCTCCAAATAATATATCAAAATTCTATTTAATTGTTATATTGTAATTTTTTTAATTCTGCACAAACATCACTTCTGGATGCAAATATTTTAAATTAAACATTCAGAGAACACATAATATATTCATTTAATAAAAAATACCTACATCAACATCTTCTGTTATTTCTTCCATTTTACCATTTTGTTCTGTAACTTTTGACATCATAGATTCTAACTTATCTTTACATTCTACTACACAATTCTATAAAATATACAAAATTTAATCATTTAAAAAAATATATTTATGGGCAACTGAGGATAAAGTATAGTTATGTAATATTTCATCAGCTCTGGATATATTTTTGTGAATAAAACTGGTTAATTTTGTATGAAAAACTCTTTCAAACAGTTATCCTCGAACTGTGTAACAATTTGAAGCCACTATTTCAAAGAAATACAAACATTCAGTTTCCATGTGGATTAGCTATAAGCCCCAGAATTCAATATTGTGTGAGTACCTAGATAAACTCCTAAATCTATTTGTTAAGGTCAGCTCAATTTTTGTCAAGGTCGTTGAGATGTAAATAAGGTTAGGGCATGTGATTATTGGTGAGATTGTAGGTTAGGGTAAGCATTGGGGTTAGGTCCAGGGTTTGGGTTAGGTTTGGGATTAGCGCTAGTCCTGTTTACATCTTGTGACCTATGACGAAAAATTGAGCTGGCCTTATCATTTAGAACTAACCCTAGATAAACTTGTCTGTGTACATGCCAGAGGTTAAAGTAGTAACTGATAGTCATGATGATCAAGTCATGCATAAACCCTGTTAAGAAAATCTAGCGATCATTTCCATACGACTAAAGACTTTGAGTATAAATTTTCCTTCAAGGAAAATAGGCTATTTCATCAAATTTCATTAACATATTAAAACTGACTTTTATATACAGCTTTCTAAGTAATTGAAAATTTCCCCTATCCTATGAACAATTTCGATTTTTAAAGATTAAAAATTTTGACACAGAAAGATTTGGAGAAAAATAATGAGACTATCATTTACAATGGTGGGAATTGCATAAATAATACACCTCTGATACATTCAGCCATCTTAATTCAACAAGCAAAATCAAATGGTTTAAAAGAGTTTAAACTTACTCTCAAGGATTTCCATGCAGCATTCAGTGGTAAAATTTTATGACCAGAATGTTTACCGACATCTTCACAAACACAAAGATGACAAACTAGTACTTTACACATATCACAGAAAATATTAGATAACTCAGTCTCGTGGTCTTTACAAAACACAGGTTTCAAGTCTGTCTCAGCTTTAGAAGGTTTGCGTACTCTGTGGTGCTGTAGTTGCCCTCGTTTAGGATGAAAATTATCCAGACACTTTTGACAATAAAGAACCGAACATTGCTGGCAAAACCAGACAGCTTTTAAAGCAGAGTCTTGATCACACAGACCGCAATCTTCACTGCACACAGTTTCATCAGTAAATACTGGTAAGTCAGAGTCTATTTGATCTGACGAATCTTGGGAATGGTAACTGGATGAAGATAAATCCAAACTTTTACTTTTCGTCATTGTATTGCTTTGTATTTCTTGGAATCGAAACACTATGTTCTCTAATGCCAAGTTTTTAGGTAGTACCCCCATTTTGTTTTTTGTGATGGCATGCATCTTTCTACAGGATGGGCATTCTAGTCCTTAAATGATAAAAAAAATCCAACATCATTATTATGTACCAATACATGTTTCTATAATATTAAAAAGTTTCACAATAGTAAAAAAAATCTTTCAATATTTGAAAGCAATACCATGTTTTTGGAGAAGTGTTGAGCACACCGAAAACTATTTTAAAACAAGAAATTAATCAGACCTGAATGGAGAGAGAGAGCGGGAGAAATGGGGTTTAAGGTACACTGGACACAAACTAGGTCATTTTGGGACTAACATATGGTTCAATTTTATTTCAATAATTCGCTCGTGTGTTGGGGTCTTTAGCAGTGGGAGGAAAACAGAGGACTCAGAGAAAACCTACGAGGTTAGCACATGCTAACCAATCGGCCATCCATCCTCACAGATCTGAATGGAGTCGAGAGAAATGTGTATTGTAATTAATTGTGACCTGCCATATCTTACTTTTCTTGACTATGATGAGTGGCTTAACATATAAGTATGTAATTAACATATAATGACACCATTGTTAAGCTTATCTATGTTATTATTAGTCTCTATCATTCTGACAAATATTCTACGAATATTAGTCTGGATCGGTTGTCAGTATTTGAGAATAACTAGCTCATTGGATAGATTATCCTGTTTTTTACATCATCATGAACAAAGTCTAAGGGAGGTAATTTTACTAGCCCTAAAATAAGACGTAGACGGATTTGATACTGGGCTTGTACCTGACAAGGAATAGCCCACCTGCCTAATCTTGTGAGTTTACTGTGGGTCCTCTGGTTTCTTCCAACTGCTTAAGGCCCCTATCATTCCCAAATGATCCTACTGGTAGATTGTGGTGAGTTGCTGTTAAACCCAATTGTCTCTTTCTCTATTTAAGTACATGTAAACTTGGAATTCAGAGTCTATGGTTCCGTGAATCGGATTTGAACTGAATATATTTTTCTTATTTTGCTATCATCAAAATATTAGATAAATGTACATGGATAGGGTGGGGGAGCGTCAAACCTTAAGCAAAAATATCAAACTACTTAGTACTTACCATCTTTACCAGTTTTTGTTCTGGAACCCAGAATATCATGTAGACATTTCTTACAGATACTATGTGAACATGGCAGCATCAGAGGATCTGCAAATAGTTCCAAACAGACGGGACACGTTAACTCATCCTCCATCATATCATATGTCATATCTGTAAATAGAGAAAATATTTAAATAAATCAATCCGCCTTCCATCAATCATTTTAAATGTTGTAAATTATGTAAACATGTCATGAAGTCACGTAAAGATTAGTATGTATACACATACACACTGTCAAACTCATTCATGTGTGTACATTTAGTTATAGTATAATAAGTCCATGCAAATTTTATAGATTTGCATAGTACATATAAAAATAATACAAAACAAACACAAACATTGCTAAAATGGTGAATAACATACATGGAGCACTTGGTTATAAGAGAAATTTAGGATACCGGTATCATAATATCTAAATCAATTAATAAATTACTAGTTTTGATCATAACACTATCGCTTTTTCCAGTCAAATATCTCCAATTGATTTCTTAGACTTGTCTAACATACTAAAAACTGTTTCTAGGTTACTACTTCAAATGTCAGACAATACCCAGAACAATAGAAATAAATGAATGTAATATTAATGGTTGAGTTGTAGACATAAAGAGAATAAATCTAATTACAGTAGTATGTTTAATATTGACTGGATATTAATACACCATGTATGATTATTAATCTATATTGTGTTTTATCATAGAACTAGAATAATATTCTAGTTGTATGGTTTTATTTTCTATACGTGAGTAGTAATGTTTTATCGCATTTAAACATTGATTTATGACTAGATATGACATAATAAACTCCTTCAATTGTAATACCAGCCTTCAATCTTACATACAGCATAATAAACTAGTCAAATTTATTATATAGGTTTCAAGTCAACTGGTTTTAAATTTTTGAACCTGTGATTGGAATGTAATCTGATCATAACAACCAAAAAATATTAATTTTCCTTTGATAAAAATACTAACAATCTTATTAATTTGATAAAAATAACAATTTTGAACATAGTTTCAACTGATCAATACAGTGAATTAAAACCCCTGTGATTTTTCATGTGTTTCCTGGTTTTTAAATACAAAAATCTCCAACTGGCTTTTCTTTTATCCTTATTGACATGTGGTCAACTTGCTCTACAGGGGAGATAAATATCACACAATTTACATTCAAATATAATTCAAGCTACAGTATTTAGCAAACATGGACGTAACCTTTCATTATGGAGATATAACCTTTTATGATATGAAAAAATTCTAATACATGTGATTCTTTAATACTTCCTCCTTCATTCAGCCCTCCGGTCATGTTTTCAATAAATAAATGAAGTTTCTTTTATAATTGCCTGACAATTTCACTATTATTTAACCCTCATTAATTATATAAGACAAAAGATGAAAACCACACAGTGGTTACTGAGACAGATCTCGAACCACATGGTTGCAGGCTTCATCCTCACTCTGCCTGACTGTTAGAAACCTTTAATCCTGTCCATATTCCTGTCTATCCCACTGTAATTTGGTACAAGGCCAGAAAAGCATTTAGGAGTTAAAATAGAACAGAAACCAAGATCCACCAGAGTTTTTCTTCATGTGCACATAAAAGACAAGTCTGTCTTCATTGACCAGGTAATGCAGAGCACTAGGATGTTAAATTCCATTTTATTTTTGTTGATGGACATTAGCACTAATAGGATAGTGCCAGGTAAATTTAACGTAGCTTGAAAATTCTGTATGTGACTGAGTAATTAATGACCTCTGTGTCCACAGGAGTAATAAAACTTGGAGTAACTGGCCTGCTAGTTCCAGCTGTAAAAATTACCGGTATTTTAGCTATCTTCTTGTATTTAATTTAATTCTATCCATTGTAGTAATAAATCTGGATTGCATCTATTTCTCTACGGATCAAATTATACGAGTATATACAGAACTAACTTAACAGTAACAAAATATCCCATCTATGAAAGCATGGGTATAGCCTACAAGATCCAGTTTCTACTTTTATTTCATAGGATATACCAACCACTGCTATGATTATCCATAAATGTACGACCAATGCCTATAGGTCATATGTTATTTTATTATTTTTTAATTCTGTTTTAATTTCAAATCTCTGTTTTAATATTCATTAATGTTTGGTTAGTCATTAGAGGGAGACAGCAATTAAAATTATGACAGGCTGCCAACTAATTAGTGGCTGATCTGTTAAGATTCTTGTTTTAAATGCCTTAAGACTTTTAATCCTTCAATAATTATATGTTTATGTCAAAACCTTTTATAGTAACTAATTTATATGAAAAGACAAATGTATATAAGACGATTCATTAGTTCGAGAGAGACCAGCTTAGTGAATCTATATACTAGTTGGAAGCCGATATACAGGAAATTATAAGTTGTTAAATTGTTGCTGCTCCTGAAATAAAGTTTTGAAGATCCATTTTAAGAATCTGTATTCATTTCTTATACTTGGAGAACACACGTCAACCAGCTACATTCCCTGAAAGTCACACAGTGTTACATGTAACAAACTGATAAGTTTCAACCATAAAACAATATGTTCAATATATCATCCATAAAATCTGTGTATAACTGTTAAGTCTATCCATGAATTATTAATTAACATGTCCATTAGTTGATTAAAATCTATCTTTACAAATCAAACAAAAATTATTCACTGAATTTGACTATCTTTTGAGAACACTGTAGAAATTATATAAATGACATTCCAATTGTGTGGACTTCTGTAATGTTGACAAAGATATTACTTTACTTTATCCAGCCAGATAAGACATAATAAAATGATGCAGAAATTATCTCTTAAACAAGATACCACACCTGTTCTCTTTCTTAACCTGTCTGCTCACAGTTTATGTCAATAACAATCCCAATAACAAGTGTGTCCTTACTTCCTCACTTAAATCATTAATAACTAAATACTTACTTATTCATGTTTGAGTGACATGTATTATACATTTTAATATGCTGTTAAGATGGCAGTCAGCCATGACTGAATTCATCACGTGAACAAAAGAACTAATATAACAATCCATTTGCCAATCTTTTTCTTGTTGTAATGGATATTGGATATGTGGGGTTGCATTTTGACATGATTATCTATTAATCTTTCAGGTTCTCCAAGAAATCAACACAATATTTGATTATATTGATAGAATTTCCTTGATTTGGATAATAAATGAAATTACAAAAAAAAGTGAATTTGACTTCTTCATTGGTGACATGTGGTAGCTATAATTTCGTATTCAAAATGATCCATTTAAATGCAATCAATTTTGTTTTAACAAAAATATAGTAGTACGGTAAACCAATTGAATTCTATTATAAAAAAGAAAACATTTTTTTGTGGAAAATATCAAATTTCTCACTGCTTAATCCACGGCCCATGCTGATATGTATTCAGATTGATTATTTAACATTTAATTAAGAAAACAAAATCAAAATACCAACGTAAGATAATATTCAGACTTCGATTCAATCGGATTTAAACAGGCCAATTTGGTTCGTGGTAAATAAAGATGGTGGCTGTCTTGTTACATAGGGAGCAACATAGATGATGTAATATATAGTCAATTCATCATACATATATCTGTGTAAATACTGAACGGAAATGAACCATTTTTGGACTGATATTCCTGGTAGAGACTCAACGCTAGACAATAACAATTACAGAACATTCCAGCATAAATAATAGCTACCTTGTTCTATTATATGTACAACAGCTCACTATGCTTGATATGTTTTTCAGAGAAATAACAAGTAAACTGATGTTGCAATTGGAATCGATCAAGACATTCCCTGGGAGCAACCAAATGTCTATAATTCTTGAGACTTTAAATTATTGGCTACATACAATTACAGCTGGAAGAAAATGAAGTAAAATTGTACAATGACTCACTTTTTTCCCCTTTTAACTCGAAGTATGAAAGTCAAATCAAAAATATTGCCAAAGGGTTAAAATAATAACTCATGATAATAACTATATGTATGTAAATTTATAATATTAATATCAATGTGAATTGAATTGCATCAATAAACAAGTTGTAAACAAAAAGAATAAAATCAACAAAATATGTCACAAACAACACAGATTTAGATAAAGTTCACATTTACCCAAAATTTCATTAAAATACTTAAACTATAGAGACAATAAACAGGTTAATAAAGGACAATATTGGTGTCAGCCATTATCACTGTGAGAGGATATAAGACAATTTATAAAAAGAACTGACTGTCACTAGATAAGAGAAAATGAAAAAAAATAGAATAATTCAGTGCATTACCATGTTTTTATTAAGTATTGAATGAATAAAAACAAGGGAATGTAGAGGCTATTTCTATTTTTCTTGCTTTCTCTTATCTAGTGACAGTTCAGTTCTTTTAATACTTGTCAGATATCCTCTCACAGTGACATTCAATTATTTTTTTGAAATTGTCAGATTTCCTCCCACAGTCTCACAAAACAACTTATGGTCTTCGAAGCAATTATCAAGGAGAAGAAATTTGCCACATATCTGTTATCACTCATCACTTCAATCAGTTATAAAGAGAAGGATAACTCATGCTTTCCTTTGGTCACTTCTGTTTCTTCAAATCCTCGTTACGCATCTATCGTTGCAATGATCTCTGTGTTAAAATTATATTTGGAATGTGTTTAACCCAGTGATTCTCAACCAGTGTGCCCACACTAAGAAAATGTGAAAAACCATGTGATCCAAGTTGAGTATTCACTGGTGTCTACTAATAAGTTCATAGTCGGTTTTTTTATGTTGTGTCAAACTATGTGTCTATGACTTGTCTCTGTCTATATGGTTTGGGTGTATGCCGTCTGACTTGCCATGTTTTTATTTTGCAAAATTCAAATATTTTTCATATATTTAACCAGGTGTGCCGCTATTTTGTCTTGTGTTCCAAGGTGTGCTGTTGGTAAAAAAAGGTTGAGAACGACTGGTTTAACCAGTTCTATCTCATATGTGATAATGGCTGACACCAATATTCTTCTTTAAAAACAGTTATGAAAGTTCCCAGATCAGCAAAATATATTTGTCTAGTAGCAGTTTTGTCTTCAGAATTTTACCTTTTTCTTGCCTTTAACCCAAAAACCCTATGAATATTCCCATTGATCTGTATGCTCATATTTCAAATCATGCCATTAATTTTTGGAAATTTTTTTAAACAATAATTTTATGTTGCTCTAACATATCTTCATCCAAAAGACTGCCTCTAAAAAATGTTTATATAAATATTAAAATTCATAATTAAAGTCTGATGAAAAAAAACAACTGTCCAGACAAAAAGTAATTTCGATCTAACAATGTCTGACATTATAAACTTAATTTAGACAAAACGACTATGTTGAAAACTTAGAATTCCTGAAACGATATTCATGACTAAATCAACCAGCTATAACATGACTAAAAGTCATTGATATCGATAAACAAATGGAAAGAAGCCATTATAAAGTTAATTTATATCATCAAAGTAGACACCACACTGTCATTACAATAAATCAAGCATCAACCATTATGTTGAAATCTCTGAACTTCTAAAGTGATCTCTGATAAAAAAAAAAATAATCATCTAACATTTGATAGTCACTATAAAAATCAAACTTAAATAGTTGACCTGATAATAGCCTGATAACACCTGAATTTAGAACCGACTGGGTTAATGAAGACGGGCATATGCCATAAAGTGCGCTATGAGGAAAATTTTGGCTGGACAGCATCCCTATGGACTACTCTTATATCAGGTTCCAACTACCAACAGATCTTTTACAAGGATGCCAATGTGTATACAGGACCTTGGTTTTCTGTCCCATCTGAATGTTGTCCCTTGCCAGGCCTCCCTTCCTGCACCACTGACACGGAGGGAACTACGCCAGAAAATCCCTATGAACTTTTTCGGCCAACGCAGGGATCGAACCTGGGATCTCCAAGTTAGCGAGCCAATGTCTAACCCACTGAGGCACCATGGCTCCAAATTTCAGTGAAAAATTACTCCAAATTACAGGGAATAGGTGCAAGTTGTCTACAATACAGGCACGTTATTTCTGCTTACAATAGACAATACTTTTAGTTATATTATAAAGATAAAAATCTTGAGACACCAGGATCATATCAAGTGCACTCACTGAATTTTTTGTATGTGTCATATGAATAGGTGTGTTCACGATTTCTATGTTCTTTATACCATTCAGATATTTTTAACCAAAAAAACATTTTAAATTTCTCAAGCGAATGACCTTTTATACAGATACCTAAAATGTATGTAAACCAAACTCAAGAAATTTTCCCATCCATTTATTCATTAAAAGCTGAGTGATTCAATAATATGGGTTCTTGGACCACAGTTGTATGAATAGTTAAATGTTTACAGACTTAACATGGAGATTGTAAAATAAACACATTATTTACATATAGATTATTATAGTCGTATAACTAACAACCAAATTATTTACATGTATTTATGTCAAGAGGAAAACATGACCTACTACTTAAACAATACAGCATGTCTGTTTTTACTCAGATCAACAATAACACTCATATTTCAATTTTCTCCACAACTGGCTTCTGAAATAAAATGGAGTTTAATGTCCTACTTTTCAGCTATAGGAAAATATTGCCAGGACAGTAGTGATACACCCTACTCTTGTTTTGATTTCTAACAGTCGGAATTTTTAACAGGCTGCCAATAACGGACCTGTTTTTTTTTTTTGTCTCATCCAAGAAACTAGTTAAATTTTTCTTGTCACATCATCTGCCCTCTAAAACTGACATGGGGAAAACAAAACACTGAACCATTCAGAAATGATCGGGGTTACATATTACTCATTTATGGAATTCATACTTCTATTATCAGTATATGAGTGACTTGATAATCCTGATGATCACTTAGCACTTTAAAGGGCCAATCCCGATAATATTTTGGAGAATAAAACTGCTTAATTCTGTGTTAAAATCCCTTAAAATTCTCTACCTTAGGGCCGAGCAACTAACTCAACCTACGTGATACGTTTTTAAACAACGTAAACCCGTCAGTCTTCATCTGGAAATGAAACGGTGTCCCAAGCTGTTTTATGCGATGTCTGGATAAAACCAGACTTTTATTTTATAAAAATGACGCGTAGGTGACATTTACTGTTCTTTATCAAGTACAGCACATGGGTCATGCACTGTATAGACCTCTAAAAGAACAGAATCGATTATGAGGTCACCCATTGAAAAAATTGACCCGAAATCTTAAAAGGGTTACGTGTCCGGATAACCACTTTTGACGTTCACGTCCAAACGACTCAATATTTTGAGCTGAAAGTTGGAGACAAAGTAAATACATCATTCCTCTATATTTTGGCGCTTAAATTTCATATTTTCTCAGACTTTTATTTTTGAGACTCTGTTCAAATCGGGAGAGTCCCTTTAAACTCATCACATTGTTATCCAGTACCTCAGAGTTTTAAAAGGGTACAATGACTAGGAAAAAGGTTTGTATTATTGTTTCACCTAAAATAAACCAGCTTTATTTACTAAATTATATTTGGGACTCTTGCTTTAAATCAACTTTGTGTTGGATGAATATAATCTTGTAATCACTGACTTTCTACAATATTCATCTGTATGCACTGTAATGTTAATGCTGACCTCTTAATCTTACAAATTGTTTTTCTAACATTTGAAATGAATTACCTACACACATAAGTAAGTGATTATAAGGTACAATTCTCGGCCATCATTTCTAAAATGGGTGGTCCAACAGATTGACAGCTACATTTATACACATCATTATACTATTATACAATATCTGTTACATTTGAAGTCAACTAAAAGATGTTTATTACTAGAAACTGTTTATGGTAAATTTCTAAAAAATTTAATTTAGAACAGATCTACATCAAAATAAATTCATAACTTCGTCTGAGATTTTATAATTCCAATAAATTAAGGAAAACAATGCAACAGAACTTGGCAATGTTTCAGACTAAAAGGGAAATATAGACTCTCAGACTATACACAATATATAGTACTTTTACCAAAAGGCATTATTATTGATACGAAAATTGTTAAAAGACGGTCAATTTTCATGTAGATTGTGATATAAATTTATTTTTGATTATCTGAATGACAACTCATTTATATGTACCCATGAACATCAAGACCAAGATGGTATCTAACCTTGATTTTCTTTGTTTTACTTGTCTAAATTCACATGCTTCATTCAAACCTTATTTTTGTTCAATTTGAAAATGTTCATTGGTTTTCTGCCACATTGTCTAAGCTTAAAATTTGGGTATTCATGGTCATTCACCCCTGATGGAAACTTAAATTTGTAATTCTTCGAAAAGGTGTCACAAAGCTTCAAATAGTTACACAGTATTAGGATAAAGATTTGCAAGAATCTCTCACTCAAAATCAACCACTAAACTAGATCAGGCACATTTCCTTTAAGTCAATTATATGTAACTGAATAGACTTCATATACGATTTATAAAGTAATAGGCCAATCTAAACTTTATTTTAAAAAAGATATCCCGCTTTTCTAAGTGTAACTGGTAGAACTACTTTTTTGTTTGTTTTTTTTTAAATTCTAAATATAAAAGTGTGACCTTTTTTTTACACAAAGTAATTATAAAGTATTTTTTTAACTTTTACCTACTTGTCACAGGTTCTCAAGTTTAAACCTGTTTTACATAAATACATCACAATAGCTGTATCTATTGAAGCAGTGTATGAATATCAGCGAGCATATAGGGACCCATATGGTACTTTTAAATGGAGAGGGATAATCTATGTCTCATCAGCTCTAGCCACACCTATGTGATTCTGACTTCTGATGAAAGCAAAATTATCTTTATTTGTAAAAGGTATACATCCAATTGTATGTCTATTAATTCTTGAATCTAATCTACATAAAGTATGAGGGAATCTTTATGTGCACTACCAATCTGTACACAGAACATGTGTTTTTCAACTTATCCAAACAACTAGACACACAATCGTTGTCAGGTGACTCCCCTGACAAGATAGAACTGATCTTAAACAATTCCAAAGATTCTACCATTGACCTAACCACACAACCGCTGCTTTCTGTGCTGGAACAAAATTAGAACTTTCTGCATACACCCTACTAGTACAGTCAACTTGGCTTTGACATATTCCAACTACTTCAAACTTTAAGTGTATTCAGAGTGAGGATAT